CAGCAGTTTCTTGTTTCTCGCTGGAATGAAATGTGCGCCCTTAACTCGCAAAGTTTGTTGTCCAGTCACTGAACATCAGCCAGCAGAATGATGGAGAGCGGAGGTCGAAATCCACGGCGTCTCAGTCTGACGAGGACGCCGGCTCTCTTTCCTCTTTTCCGGCTGCGTTTCCTTCATCGCTTCGGTTGTGTGACCCAGACAAAGGGCTCTGTTGCTGTGTTTGTAAACAGAGCGTCATTAAAGAACTCAAAGTCCGGTCTTTGGTGTGCAACGAGTGAATATGAAATTAAAGGCTTTTTAAGACTATTTCAAATGAAATTCAATGCCAACTTAGTACCCTGTCAAATGATGAACACATGCCCCGTCATTCACATCGCCTCATTTGTGCTAATTGCGCCATAGGATGTCTATTCGCGTCTTTGCATTGGCTCATGCTTGATGCTTCGTCCGCATCTGGTGTGAACGCAGCATGAGACCTTGATTAGCTTGTTCAGTTGTGTTTGTGGGTTGGAGCTAAACTATGCAGGGACACCTGTCCTACAGGATCAATGTTCCACACCCCTGCTGTAGTATGTTAAGATTTCATGATCATGTAACTGATCTGAGTAGATTGACCCGTGGACAGAATACAACTTTTAGGATAAGAAGCACGCAACACAGAAACAGGACTTTGAAGGTGGTTAGTCGTGGGGTACATTTGGTTGTCTATCAGGGGCAATATGCTTATTTCACGCGGCTGCCATTTTAAAGAACCAAAGCAAGGCTGCGGTGGGAAGAAACCAGCTGTTGCCGAGATTTCAAAATGCAGAAATGGTGTAACCATATCTTTAATATTATTTAGTAAGTTTTTTTTAAACAATAAAAGCAATTTAGGATAAAACAAGATCACAATCTCAGTGATACGCTTAAGTGTCCTCCTAGGCTTCAGCTCATGGCACCAGTTAAACACCGTGAGGACGCTTTCCTGCTTCAGTCTATGTAACCCGGTGAGTGATAAAACACTGCAGTCCTCTGTAGCACGCCCTTGCGTTGTCTGTAATAGTGTTTTCCCGGTACTTAAGTTTTAAACCCGGCTGTTTCCCGCTAACATGGAAGCGCCGCTGAGCGCGGATGACTCGACTGATCTTCATGGCTTCGCGCTTTAGTCTCCGTGTATCTGTGTTTGGTTTGCACTCAGTTTACTGCTCTTCACCCAGTGCAAACACAGACACACGGACTGGAGCGCGAAGCAGCCGTCAAGATCAGTCGAGTCATCAAGCAGATCGCTCTGCTCGTCTGTGTTTATACTCAGTATACAGCGGTGGGTGAACTGATGACCTTCTCGGCCAATCACAATCATTTCTGTTGAGCACGTGAACACAATGGCAAATCAGCGCTGTTTTAAGAAAGCCATTAACATTGCCTTAAATGTTAGCGCGAAATTGTCGGTTATTCTTTTAATTCAGTATCGTGATGAGTCTAATATAGTGAAAGATTCAGTTTATTAACTCGAGTTTGATAAATAGCATCTAAAACGTGTGTTTGGGAAAGAAAACGTTAACTAACTAGTGCCATTTCCCTTAACTTAGCTGAAAATGAGCTCTGATATCCCTTTTAACATTCACCATTCATTCAGAACAGACCTTCGGGTCACCCGGAAGGCGGAGAAATTATAAATTTGTGTCACTTTATCTTCACTGATAAGATATACAGCCAGGTACACAACATTCCTATTCCATTCCGACTCCCAATGATACTTCTGGGTTTCTTCCCACTGCAGCCTCGATTTCGCTTTTGAAAATGGCGGCCGCGTGAAATCAGTCTATAAGGAGATGAAGATTGTGTTTTTGAAGACAGATGAAGACAGTCAGATTTTGTATGTCGAGTCAGGGTGGGATTAGTGATCTAGTAGCTCATCCCTGCCTCTGGGCCGAGTATTGATGAGTGGAATTCAAGCAAGCCACACTATCTGAACGGGGATAGAGACAGAATGCAGCTATTCAAAGCGTTGGCTGGCTGCCGGGCCCCCACATCAGTCAGTGAGTCTCGCTTTCTCTAGCGAGCTGTATATCTGCATATCTCATGTCACTTGACCCCTCAGGTTGCAGTGCTGATTCTCGTGGATTTTGTAGCTCTAGTAAATAGAGTTGCTCTCTTGCTGCAGTAGGAGGAATGCATTGAGGTGATGTGGACTTGGGATGATGGAAGTTCTGTCTCTATTCTTTTCTATAGCAGCACTACAGTTTCACTGTTTCTGCTACTGGCAGGAGTCTCTTGGTTGCAACTTATGAGTTACGGAATTTGACCAATGGTTTCATTCATGGGCACATTTCCCACAGCGTAGTCCAGCATATTATGTCTGAGTGGCCGTCATGACTCGAGTTGCACATTATTTATTATTATTCAATAACCAAACGGACAAGAGTCATTTATTATGCTTATACTATGGTGACCACACCTAAAGACTTGGTTCAGATGCATTTCAGGATAAGTCAGGTTTTGTCCTCGAGCAACTCCTGTGTGTAGTTCCTGTTTCTTACTCATCCTCTCCAAAGCTTTGTTTTGAATAGATTTTGACTGTGAAATATCAATCATTCAGCATAGCGATATGGAATTGTAATGCAGTCAAGATATGCCTGGGACAACTATGTGGCGGTGTGATGATTTTTGGAGACAAAAAACTTATTTGAAGACATATTTTAAGCAAATGCTTTGAACTATACACATTACTCAATAATTGTGTACACTATACACACATTTGCCACACTTTCTTTATGCTGGTGACTGTTTTTGCTCCATTGACTTCCATTATAACACAATTTTTTGATTGCAATGCCATGACACAATTTAATCATACATTCTTGAATGTTGGTGGTTTTCCCTGTTGGGAAGAGGTACAATTTTGTAATTTTTGTAATGTTGATCAAGAGTTGCAGTGCAAAAAAAAGCATAGTTTCTGGCTTTTATATGGAGTTATATGAAGTATACTGTTTGTGTGAGAGAGAGATCTTTAAGCATTAACTTTGATACGTCTGAGAAAATGAAAGTGAGCACCTCAGAACACAGTGAACATCAGATGGGGACTGGGATAGCATTTTTAACCGGGAAAAATTTCACATCTGAAGTGATATGGGAAGTGTAACAGGGCAGGAGGGGGTTTTTAGAGTTGGTGGGAGAGACACTATCTGAAGACCCTGAGGGGGTGTGGCGGGGGTTATGATGGAAGAGAGAGACACCCGTTTACACTAGTGCGTTTTAGTTTTAAAACGGCGTTTTAGATCAAAAACGATCTGCGTCCACACTAGCGTTTCACCTAGCGTCTTTGAACATATCTCCGTCCACACTACGCCACCAAAAATGTATATCACGTGACCATTCACGCACTCTGGGCATGCGCGTTCTAGTATAAACAGAAAGCATGTGTCTCGCTCGGCATTTGGTTTCTGTTTATACTAGAACGCGCATGCCCAGAGTGCGCGAATGGTCAAGTGATATACATTTTTGGTGGCGTAGTCTGGACGAAGATATGTTCAGAGACGCTAGGTGAAACGCTAGACGGTACAGCAACGTTTTAGAATGAAAACGGCCTCTCCAGCGTTTTCAAAACGTCTCTGTTTTCAACGCTCGAGAACTCCGGCATAGCGTGGACGGATGGCGTAACCGTAACAAAACGTATGCGTTTTAAAACGAAAACGAATTAGTGTAAACGGGGCCTAAGTGAAAAGCGGTGGGTGCGGGGTTGAAATGGAAGTGAATAGCCGGGGGCAAAGGGTTGGGTTTGGGTAGGGGATGGTGAAGGGGGAGATGGTAATTGAAGAGAGAGGAGGGGTGGGGGGTGTAGGTGCATGCCAGGCCACAGTCACGGTGGAGGGCCAGATTGACCGTCAGGCAACCGGGAAATGGCCTGTCTGCACCTAGTAAACATAGTAAGTGTATTTATGCATGCACACTATATTCAAAAAAAAGACAGAAACAATTTTTACCTCTTCTAAACAGGGAAAACCACCAACAATTAATAATTCATTATTACATGGTGCTATGGCTTCGCAATCAAAACATTGTTATAGTGGAAGTCAATGGGGCAAAAACAGCCCCCAACATAATGAAAGGGTAGTCAATTTAAACAGTACTCAAGGGTTCAAATCTATCCAGAATTTGGAGGATGATAGTATGCTCAACCAGTTCTACAGGTTTAATCATATGGACATAGAGATCAAAATAAGACAACATCCTTCTGTGTTCAAGTGTTTCCTCGTTGGTTAGTTACACTATATTCAACACTAGTGAATTAGTTACACTATATTTCTTTGCACAACAATAGTCTATCAGGCTTTTTGGCTAAAAAAAGAGAAATCATGGTTTAATTTGTTATCTTTGGATTATTTTTATATTTGATGTCTCCTGCTAGGCATGAACTAAGCTGTTGAATAGTCTGCGTATAAGGCGGCTAGCTTCAATTTTGATAAAATTATTCTCTAATCGTTTGCTTATTATGTGGGGAATATCCCCCTATAATGCATGCTGCAGTCCTTTTTTGTCTGGCCTTCCAGATCTCACAAGAAAACGTAGGTATTTTACGTTTTGCCAGTTTAGTGGCTAATTCGTACAAATTCGTACGAGTTCAGTCGTAAGAAATTGTACGATTTTAAAAAGGAGGCGTGGCACCTAACCCCACCCCTAAACCCAAACGTCGTTTCGGGATGAGCAAATCGTACTAAATTGTACGAACTAGATCGTACAAATTCATACGAATTAGCCACTAAATAAAAAAAAATTAAGAATTGCCGTGAGATTGTGTTGGGTTTTCTCAGATATCTTACCTGTTCACCAAAAAATGACTAATCATATCCCTGGGAATGTCTGACACCAGCCAGGCACGAAAGCTTAACATGTGTAAGAACAGTAACTAAGCAGGGCGGGGCTTAGTGAAGAGTCAATTAGCCAGTGATTTCCATGCAAAATGGGTAGTTGAAGCTAAAAACAATGAAATGGCAGCCCTGAGTCTTTAAAAAATGACTTTATTTATTTCATTAATTCTTTATTTAATGAAAGATCATTACAGTACAATAATCAGAATAAAATAATTAGAATAAAGTCAAAACAAAGGGTAAAAACTATTCAATTTTTGATTGCATGAAGATTAAAAAACTGCTTAAATGTTCAAACATGTTAAGAAGCATCAATGCAAAGAATAATACACACTCTTCTTTTTATTATCTGAGTTACCTGAGAACTGTGAATTATACATGATATAGATGAGCCAAAGTGCTCTTCTGCGCTCAACGGCTGTGCTGTTATTGTTTTTCCTTTGTATGTTATGGCTTGATGTGTTTCGGGTCACTTTTTGCTGTCTCTACTGCAGCAGATGATGCTAAAGGTTTGAGGATAGCGGACTATACCCACGATGCCATCCATGTCTAAGGGCTTTGCATCAGGCGGCCAAGAGAAATGAATCCTCTGTAGGAGAACAGTGGCGAACAAGAAGAGCTCCGTCCTCACTAGTGACTCACCTATACAGGCCCTCAGCCCTGAAAAACAAGCACACAGATCAATCCAGTGACTACTGCCTGTGCTTTAGGGGGCATTTAACACAACAACGATTCAGTCAAAAACTGTCAACTTTTAATGCATTTTCTGTCGTTTTCACAACAATGGAGACTGAAAATGTATATTGGGAAAAGTGCAAGTTTTTGAAAAAGGCACAGTTATTGCTTCCATGTAAACACAAAATGCGGAAATCTTTGAAAAACAAAGACGTCATGGGCATACATAGTATGTTTTGGGTATGTAGAAATGCAGTACATGCTGATTTTAAAAATAAGTGTGAACAAACATACACCCCAATGCAGGAGTTCATGGTTAGAGGCTTGCATTTTAGCCCGAACCCACTGGGGCCCACATTTTGTATGCCCGTAGGGCCAGGTTTCAAATTTTCACATCATAGCTAGAATGCATAACGGCTTCAGGCTTGCATTAGAAAAAAAAATGCGTGCGGTCTGGAAATGCCAGCAATGCCTTGCGCGTAGAGATTTCCAGCAACATGCAATAGACTGATTTCACGCAGCCGCCATTTTCAAAAGCGAAATCGAGGCTGCGGTGGGAAGAAAACCAGAAGTATCATTGGGAGTCACATAGGAATGTTGTGTAGCTGGCTGTATATCTTATCAGCGAAGAGAAAGTGACACAAATTTATCATTTCTCCGCCTTCCGGGTGACCCGAAGGTCTGTTCTGAATGAATGGTGAATGTTAAAAGGGATATCAGAGCTCATTTTCAGCTAAGTTAAGGGAAATGGCACTAGTCAGTTAAGGTTTTCTTTCCCAAACACACGTTTTAGATGCTATTTATCAAACTCGAGTTAATAAACTGATTCTTTCAGTATATTAGACTCGTCACGATACTGAATTAAAAGAAAAGTCGGCAATTTCGCGCTAACATTTAAGGCAATGTGGATGGCTTTCTTAAACAGAGCTGATTTGCCATTGTGTTCACGTGCTCAACAGAAATAATTGTGATTGGCCGAGAAGGTCATCAGTTCACCCACCGCTGTATACTGAGCACAAACACAGATGAGCCGAGCGATCTGCTTGAGGACTCGACTGATCTTGACGGCTGCTTCGCGCTCCAGTCCGTGTATCTGTGTTTGCACTGGGTGAAGAGCGGTAAACTGAGCGCAAACCAAACACAGATACACAGAGACTGAAGCGCGAAGCCATAAAGATCAGTCGTGTCGAGACATCCATGCTCAGCAGCGCTTCCATGTTAGCGGGAAACAGCCGGGTTTAAAACTTCAATACCAGGACAACAGACAACACGAGGGCGTGCTACAGAGGACTGCAGTTTTATCACTCACCGGGTTACTCACGGTGCTTAACTAGAGCCATGAACTAAAGCCTAGAAGGACACTTGAGCATATCACTGAGATTGTGATGTTGTTTGATGCTAAATTGCTTTTAATTGTTTAAAATAAACTTACTAAATAATTATAAAGTGATGACACCATTTTCTGCATTTTGAAATCTCGGCAACAGCTGGAGGTTTGTAGTCCACAGCATGTTACTGCAAAGTTTACAGTGCTTGTCCTATACTTCCGGGTTTCTTCCCACCGCAGCCTCGCTTTTGTTCTTTAAAATGGCGGCCGCGTGAAATAAATGTATGAAGAACATAAAGAGAACATTTGCCAACGCCAAACAAACGTCGTGCGACGTGTTACATTTTTTGGGAGGTGCGCCTCAGCAACGCTGACGGCGAGGGCTATGCGTCCACGCATAGGCCGCGTCGTAGCATATGTGTGCAATTGACGCAGAAGTATAAATCAGCCTTTAGATTTAAGGCCCGTGCGCGGGTCTATTCATGGTAGTGTTGTGCGGCTCCTCAAGAGTTTAAGCTTTTTCAGCAAAGTGTGAATTTACTTAAGGAACATTACAGCAAACAGCGGAGATGTATCAAACAGTACACACAGCAAATTCTAAATACACACCAGGGTCAAACGCATGTCTCTAAAACGTGTTTTTAGATTAGACTAGACATGTGTGTGTGCTATGACTCTTTTAAACAGAGGTTCTATAACCCTAAAAGCTCAGAATCCATAAATACAGGTTTTCACATCATGTTTAGTCAATAAAACACTTCCACATAAATTTATCATTACAATTTGACAAACAGCTGACTCACCCAGGGAAAATGGAATGTAAGACTCAGGCTTGCTGAAGTGTCCGTTCTCATCAAGGAAATTCTCTGGGTTAAATGTGTCAGGATGCTTCCAGTGCTCCTTACTGCTGAAAATTGCAGCCAAGTTTGTCATGATCATAGTTCCCTGTGTGAGGAAAAAAAAAGAGCAACAGAATTGAAATAAATGCATATTAATTTTTTTTTTTTTTATGTAGTTCCTTTTGTGTTTTTTTTTTTTTTTTTTTTTTTTTGTGATAATATGTAACCAGGAGCCTGAAATATAAAAGCTGTATATGCATGTGCAAATCATCATATCTTTTATGACAATTATTATGGAGACCAATTTGGTGCCACAGTAACTGCATCAAATCTTTTTACATTCAAAATGTGTGAAATTCCTAAAGCTTAATCTTCATCATTTTGTGTTCACATCAATCAGATGGAAATTTTGAATCAACCGATTCAACAAAAAGATTTATTAAGCTTTGATATGAACAATTTGAATGTGTAAAACCAGAGCAAATTTCCATTTTACAATCGATTAGCTTCATTCACTCAAACTCCATTCATTACCTGAGGAATGTCAAATCCATGTAGTTTTGTGGGCCAAATTGTTTCATGAAACACACCGAAAGGTACAGTTTTTGCAAAGCGCTGAATCTCATGAACAGTGGCGTGTGTGTATGGTAGTCTGTCACAGTCATCCATGCAGGGCAAGCGGTCGTAACCCAGAACCTGAACAATCTCCTCATGACATCTCTCTGTGTTGTAAAAAAAAAAAAGTTTAGGACCCAGAAAATACAAATGTTCTCCTAAAGATCCCATATGGATACTATTTGGGGAGAGGAGTTGTGAACCAAATAACAATTCTTTTTTTGGTAACCAAAAACTAAGGCCCTGTTTACACTAGTGCGTTTTAGTTTTAAAACGGCCTTTTAGATCAAAAACGATATCTCCGTCCACACTACGCCACCAAAAACGTATATCACGTGACCATTCGTGCACTCTGGGCATGCGCGTTCTAGTATAAACAGGAAGCATGTGTCTCGCTCGGCATTTGGTTATTGTTAGTCAACAAACGCTGGTTGAACATTAAACGCGATGGCAAAGAAAGCAAAAGAGGTATTTTTGTGGACAGACGATGAGGTCGAGTTGTTACTAAACGTAACAAATGAATAACTGCACAATGGCGCCTAAACACAGAAAATAGAGCAAACAACGCTAAATTTCTGTATTCATGTTGTTGTTTACAGTGAAGGCTGATCTGCTGTCTGCCGGTAGTGTTAAAGCCATGTGTTATAGTCATGTGATAGGGGCTTGACGAATAAGAGAAGGATACGCAATGGCACAAAAGCCCCAATCAGGTAGCGAATCTCAGCAGCCCCGCCTCCATTTTCCGATATCTCCGTTTTCCCTCATCCACACTGAGACGTTTCAGAATAAATACAGCCTCTCCAGCGTTTCCAAAACGCTCTGTTTTCGGCACTTGAAAACTCTGGCGATGTGTGGACGGATGGAGTAACTGTAGCAAAACTTATGCGTTTTCAAACTAAAAAGCATTAGTGTAAACGGGGCCTAAACTTTCCAGAACGTTACAGGGAGGGTTTTTGTAACAACTTAAATAGAACCTAAAAGAGAATGTTCTGAATACGTTCTCCTAACCTAGAAGGAACGTTCTATTAAGATGGTCTAACTCAGCAGCAAAGCTAAACTGTATATTCATCACACATCTAAGCTAAAAAGTTTAGTATAGCGGTGAAACCTAAAGTACGGTTTGAGCGGAAAACAAACAGAATCAAGTCATGACTGCAGTTGATGTTTTACTTTAGTACCTTGTACGTCTGGGTTTTGAATCAAGAAGAGGAGTCCCCATCTGATGCTGGTCGCTGTGCTGTCGGTTCCAGCAAAAAACAGGTCAATAGCTGAACCAATCAGGTTTTCTTCTTGAAATGTGGAGTCTTTGTTAGACTTTTGCTGTTTCAGATAGAACAAAGCTGTCAGTTTACAGTAACTACAATTAAATGAATAAATATAAGAATTCTTCTTTCATGATCTCACTTTCTCGATCTCCAGCAGATAGGCATCTATGAAGTCTCGTGGACTGACTGGATCCAGAGTTTTTCTGTGTTCCTCAACTTCATCCTCAATGAAACTATATAACTCATTGGAGTTCTTCTTGATCTTCTGGTGTGGACCAGGGAAATGCTTGATGAACGGGGCCAAGTTGAAAATCTAAGACAGATAAAGTATAATGGGGCAACATTTTGTGTTTTAGTTACAAAAAAAAGACAAACATAACACATACTGTGCAGTATATGGCAATGAGTGCAGGTCACATGACAACGTTTTAGTAGGGACGTGTTTGGTATTTAAAGAGCCCCTATTATTGGTTTTTGAAAATGACCATCCATGCAGTGTTTAACACAGCTCTGAGTGAATGAAAACATCCAGGTGAGGTTTAAATATAGAAGTCCAGCATGTTCAAAACTATTGATTCTTCAGCGAAATATTTGACTCGGAGTCGAATAAATGAATCGAGTTGGGTTTGACTCTTTTGTTTGATTGCATCGACGTTGATACGGTACATCTCCAAATATGTACTTCCAGTTCCCGTAAAATGAGCATGTGCCTTCCCTTCACACATCACGGGACTGAACATGACGCGAAGATGCCCATCACTGACAGATAGAGATTTGGCTGTTGAGAATAAAGGGTTAAAGTTCATTTTCACAACAACACCACAGTATAGCCAACCGTGTGCTGTGATTATTCCTGTCATTTTCCAGATTTTTTATACAATAACCTACGCTGCAGTGTGGGATTCGTCGGCCGTTTACTATTGAAGGAACAGCAGAGACTATGGGACTTTGACAGGGACTTTTACATTTACATTTACATTTAGTCATTTAGCAGATGCTTTTATCCAAAGCGACTTACAAATGAGGACAAGGAAGCAATTTACACAACTAAGAGCAACAATGAATAAGTGCTGTAGGCAAGTTTCAGGTCTGTAAAATCTAAGAAGGGAAGTATTAGTAGTATTAGTATTTTTTTTTTTTTTTTTGTGCAGTTAGTGTGATATTCAAAGAGGCAATTGCAGATTAGGAAGTGAAGTGGACATTTCAAATGGACCGGTTTCAGTTTCTTCTTTCACCGAATCATAACATGTAAGTGTCATTAAAATTGTTGCCTCGTTTTGTCTAGTTTGCAAAATATGTGTTTAATTCCGTGTTGTTACTTGTAATCACTCAGCGTGGCTTGTAATCATGTCTCTATTATAGATCAGTGCTTGTACCGTATCTCTCAGGTTAAATCTGTATGGGGCTGTTCACATATCGTGTCCAAAACCACATTAAAAACGTGACGCGTGCTTCTTCCTTTACTGATTTAAATGCGTTTCTGAAGTGGTGATCCTCTGCTGTTTGCCTTTGCTATGGCCACCTTCAGTGGTTCCTACACATGTGTGGCCACTGTGTGGCTTCATACTGAATGTGTGTCGTTGTTATTACTTATGGTTAGGTTTAAGAGTAGAGCAATATGCTGGTCAGTATTTATTGCATTCCTGTATTGGGCTTTCACATACTCTCTGGCTGCAATTTCATAGTCACGGTGGGCATTTCTCTCTGTCTCGTGCTTTTAAGCCTGTACAGTTTAAGCCGAGATTACAGACCCAGATTAGCTTCGCGATAAGGAGGGGTCTGGGAACAAATGAATGACTGAATGATTCATCTGGGAGTCGATTATTAGGAGTAGGATTATTAGGTTAAAATAAATGCATATTATAAAACAACTAGATTATTAAAGTTCGTCGAGACAAACTTTAGGCTGCCTTGAAAGTCTCTTGAAAATAGTTTGTTTAGTTTAAACAGTTTTAAAAAAATTAAAAGATGATAGATAGATAGATAGATAGATAGATAGATAGATAGATAGATAGATAGATAGATAGATAGATAGATAGATAGATCGATAGATAGAAAAGAACAGTTTGAAAAAGGATAGATAGATAGTTGAGGTCACAAAGTTAGATCTAATGTAAAGTCAATGACAGTCTTTTGCAATGGAAGTCTATGGGACAGTTGTTGCTAGGGTGCAGTATGTGGTAGCTAGGGTGTGGCTAGAAAATTAAAAGCTCATCAGTTATTGTTAGTTTGGTAGTCTGAGTTAAATGAGCTCAGCCATTAGTCTGTATGACAGTCTGATGCAGAGTTATGAGCTCACAAAGTTTGATCCCATATTAAGTCAATGAGAGTCTTTTGCAATGGAAGTCTATGGGACAGGTTCTAGGGTTCAAAAGTGGTTGCTAGGGCGTGGCTAAAAAGTTAAAAGCTCATCAGTTATTTTCAGTTAGGTAGTCTGAGTTAAATGAGCCCAGTTAGAAGTCTGTGTGACAGTCTGACGCAGAGTTATGAGGTCACAAAGTTTGGTCCAATGTTAAGTCTATGGGATTTTTCCGACGGTGCCGGGACGTTTTTCGGAAAACCGAAAGTCGGATCAGTCGGAAAAGATATAGCATACAGAGTCAGAATAGTTTGGAGGTCTGGTGTGAGTTTGGTGGTCATAGCTCGAAAGCTCTAGGAGGAGATAGATTTTGAATTTTAGTCTCAGAAGAAGAATAAAAATGTTAACTTTAAATAGGATTTCAGTAGTCTGGCTTGTTTCTCAAGCCAGCCTAATGAAAGTATTTTTTGACATAGCATGCATATCAGCCTGTTGTTGAAGACCCCCAAAACCAAAATATGATATTTTTCCATGCAAAATAGGGGCTCTTTAAACTCTGTTTATAAATATTTTCCACATAGGTTGGCCTTGGCAAATAATGAATAAGTTACAAAACTACATAAGGATAAATATTTCAGGTGCATATACTTTAAAATAAAGACAAAATCATAAATTAGGAGTTTGATCATACCTGTCCTATAGCTGATCCTGTCAGCATCATGTTTTCATTCAGGATTTTCAGAAGGTAGCCTAAGCGTTTGTTATCGTAGTCAAATCGCTCTCCAAACATGATGGAGCAGAAAATGTTGGAAACGGCATTCTGTAGGGCATGATGGGGATTCACTGGCTCACCTACAAAGACAATCTCCCACGAAATGAATATACATTTGAAACTTTTTGCGAAAATTGTATTATGCAAAATTACACTGCAAAAAATGCTTTTCTTACTTAGATTTTTTGTCTTGTTTCTAGTCCAAATATCTACAAATTCTTAAAGCAAGAAGCATTTTCTAGACAAGCAAAATATGTTGTCTTGTTTTAAGAAATAATACGCCAAAATGATGTGAGATTTCCTTAAATCAAGCAAAATAATCTGCCAATGGGGTAAGCAAAATAATCTTGTTTTTCGATTTGTGATAAGACTATTTTGCTTACCCCATTGGCAGATTATTTTGCAGATTATTTTGCTTAATTTAAGGAAAACTCACTTCATTTTGGCATATTATTTCTTAAAACAACACAAAGTTTTGCTTGTCTAGAAAATGCTTCTTGATTTAAGGAACTTTAAGATATTTGTACTAGAAACAAGACAAAAAAATCTAAGTAAGAAAAGCATTTTTTTTTTGCAGTGTAAGCATGAAGCTTTTGATATTCTACAACATATTCTTGTCACTAATATGTTTCAGAGAGGGTTCTTGGTTTCTGTTTGACATTTATAAGCACAGATGAGCTTGTTTAAAGCATCACACAATGTCATGTGCTTAAACAAAACATGAACATGTCATACCTTCATCTTTGAGCAGTTCAGCAAACAGATATTGGCTTTCCTCTAACACACGACTTTCTATTGATTTCTTCCCCAAGCCAAAGTTTCTGAGCGTGTGCAGAGCAAACCGTCTCTGCTGCTTCCAGGAGTTGTTAAATGTGGCCATTATTATACCTAAAAAAGAGAGAAGCAGACCTTCAAACCTTCACACCCTTGGAATGGTGATTGCATTTTGCTGAGCTGTACAGTCTTAAAATAAATGCTGGCATTTTTCATTCCATAAAGAACCTTTAACATCTATGAAACCTTATTGTTGTGCATAAGGTTCTATAGAGTGCAAAAGGGATTTAGATTTATTGGGCTCTATTTTGACGGTCCATGCGCAGAGCGCAAAACGCAGGGCGCAAACGCTTTCAGGGCGTGTCAGAACGCATTTTTGCTAATTTAAGGACGGGAAAATCCGCTTTGCGTCATGGCGCATGGTCTAAAAGGGTTGAGTTTATTTTCTTAATGAGTTATAGGTGTGTTTTGAGAATAAACCAATTAGAGCCTCATCTCCCATTCCCTTTAAGAGCCAGCTGCGTCGCGCCATAAGTGCATTTTGACGTAAAGTAAGTTCACTTTCGCTTTTGCTCTCGTGGATAGGGAAACCTTTACGCACAGACATCTATTAGCCTATAAATAATTAATTTTGTTTGTTAAGTGCAAAGATTTGTTTCAAAACTATTTCTAAATTCGGTTATAATTTCTAGCAAATGAATAAATGAACAATAATAACCAAGTGTGCTCAAAATACTGAGTTATTTTCAAATACACCTGCCATGCCCCAAATGGTCTAAAACCTGACAGGTGGACAAATCTAAGCTTGTTTTTAATAAAACAAATATAAATATGTATATAATAAATAATACTGCTAATAATAATAACATTATACAAAAGCAAATTGAATGAACTGAAAAAGCCTCCCGAGATGAAGAAAGTAAGGCAGTGGTTTTTAAATCTTCATGTAGGCTAGAAATTAATATGTTTTGTAATATTTTAATTATTTATATTTATATCCTGTATATATCCTTATTTTATATATATCCTTAAGATATTATATATTTTTCATATGTAAAGATATTTGCGTATTGCTCTACATCTTGTGTGTAGTGTGTAAGCCAGGCGCACTTCGCGCCAGACAATAGACCGACTTTGTTCTGGTCTAAAAATCAGACTATTTACAGTTTTTCAAAATACCAACGCGCCAAAACACGCCTGCTTTTTTTAGACCAGAAAGCCTATGGGCGCACATTTGAGCGCAAATGCATTTGCTATTTAAACAGCGTGGCGCAACACCTCAAAATGACCCTTGCGCCGAGCTAAAACAAGCAAAAGAGTATTGCGTGTGCCTTGCGCCACATTGCGCCGGGTGTATGATAGGGCCCATAAACTGATTCTGATCTGTTTACTGAAAGGTTCTTTGAGAATTATTTTTTGGAGCTTGATTAAGAAAAGTGTTACTGACCGCATCCATTAGAAGTCCAGTCTATAACCGGCAGACATGGTCTTCCAGCAAAAGCTTCCTGAACCAGGGCTTCCTTAGCCACCTGGATTGTATTGAGGACTATCGCTGGCTTTTTCCCAAGATACATAGTGGACATTTCTCCATATTGAGCCATCTGTTTAGAGAACATTTACAGCAGTATTGTTCAGAATACAGCAGCAGAGCTTCACAATGAGAGAAAACAGCAACAACTTACTAATCTGTTGAAGCCCATCGGGTCCCTCAATAAATGTGGTAGGTTTCCCACAAAAGGCAGAGGTGTTGGACCAGGCGGAAATCGACTTTTGTAAGAATGAATCCTGAAGATCTCAAACAGAACCAGAAGAATCAAGCCCAGCAACAGAGTCAAGCCCACAGAGGAAAGGTCTAACTTTACAAGAGCCCCAAACATGATGACAGATTGAGTTCAGGACAAACACAACAGCAGCAGAGGGTCAGGAGCTTTATAACAGAGGGAGGAGGTGGAGACAGAAAGAGTTTGATCTGATGTGAAGCCTTTCAGTCCTGTCTTTATCCCCACTCATACAGAAGGGCATTTGCAAAATATTACCCAGAGTACCTAAGTTGATTAAAACAATCAATGACTTAACTGTAACATACTAATGTGTTGAAAACACTGTGAAACTGCTTTTGATGTCATTCTTTCTGATTGCTTTTTCTTCATACAGCTTGAGCAATACCAACCCCCAAATCCAGCTGAGCCATCATGAAGGGGTGATGACATAAAGAGGGGAGCAGAACAATAACATACAGCATTCTCCTCAAGCCATACATAGATTGTTCATTAAAATACATCAACATCTCTATTGTTCCTCACCACTACAAAGTTGGTCATAAACTATCAAATGACATTGACAAAACAAAAGTTAAATGGCAGAGGTGTGTATTAGAGGTGTAGGAACTCTGCTTGATCAAGACATCATCAAACATGATCAATGACAGATTAATCCAGCTGCTGGTTTATGAATGAGCTTAATAGGCTGAGAGATGGTTCCGCAGCCATTAAAGGTGCAGTAGGTGATTGTCTTCAGAAGCATTTTTTGTTGTGCAGGTTGAAAGTCTCTTCACAGTCTAATAGTAATGATTACAGTAAATGACTTAAATGTATTTACATGTATATTTATATTCTGGGTAAAGCATAAAACTAAAAAATCCCTTAATTCCGATAAGCAGGTCAGACTGTCTGTCAGCAAATGTAGATTCCCATAGATATGTACACTAGATGTTGCCTGGCCTATTGTTGTCTATTGGACGGAATGCGTCAATAGCGCCGCCATCTTGGTTCAGGGTAGCGCTCCTTTGAAATGAATGCGGGACCAAGGTACAGTGGAGGACTGTGGCCATCCAAAGCCAGAGATATACACATATATCTATGATCGGGAGTTTTCCTGGATGTTAGTATGTAATTTTTTTTAATTACGAAAATTATCATTTTACATCACTTTTCTACATTGATGGATCAGTGACCGCACCGGCATTCCTGACAAAAAGCTTGTGTTTGTTTACAGAAATGTACTATTCACCCTCCCTGTTAAATTTGATCTAATCATGTCCTGAAACACACCTCCTCTCCTGCTTTCACTTCTCATACTGACGGAGGGAGCGATTCGTTTGTGAATGAATCCCCCGAACGACTCTTCCTAGGCTGGTTTAAGCTGGAATTTTCAGCAGGGATATAAATCCGTAATGTAGATTTAGTTTAACAACAAAACACCAGTAAATAGCGCTATTCCGCCTAACCTGTTTTATTGAGCTGAAGTTGCTTTTATATTCACATTGGGTCATTTTTGAACAATGACAGCCTTCCTTTACTGTTTACCGTGCTACTCTGAATATTCGCTCTGAAATAGCACGCAAGTGTGGCAAAGTAATACATGTAATTCCTGCACGGCGCTGGCACTAGCTAACTGGCGAATGACATGAACTAGTGGGTTGTCTGTCTGCTGTTGTGACGCGGTGCGCGTGCTCGCGATTTCAGGGGGTGCGGCTTTGAATCACAGTCCCTCCCCGCCGTCCAAAGATAATATGCTAAGCGGTTAGCATTTTGGCAGATCACCTACTGCACCTTTAAACCGGATTCAATCACATTTGCATTCACACTGTTAGAGCGATCTCACCTAATGTGCTTTTGACTACCTCTCGAAGTAGTCAAAAGTGGACTAACTCAAAACATTGCACACGCCATTCACACTTGTGCTTGGCATTGTCAACTTGTTTTCGGATTGACAAATACAGCAGAAAATAGATGGAAACTGGATAAAATAAATAAAAATTAAGGTACATAGAAAGAACTCCCTGCTGAAAAATCCAGCCTAAACCAGCCTAGGCTTGTTGGCTGGTTTTAGCTGGTCGACTAGGCTGGTTTTAGAGGGGTTTTGGCCACTTCCAGGCTGTTTTCCAGCCATTTCCAGCCTGGTCTTAGCTGGTCAGGTTGGGAGATAACCAGCTAAAACCAGCTTGACCAGCCTAGCCAAGCTGGGAGTCCAGCCAAAACCAGCTATATCCAGCTTAAACCAAGCTGGTCAAGCTGGTTTTAGCTGGATTTGGCAGGTCATTTTCCAGCCTGACCAGCTAAGACCAGGCTGGAAATAGCTGGAAACCAGCCTGGAAATGGCCAAAACCCCTCTAAAACCAGCCTGGTCGACCAGCTAAAACCAGCCAACCAGCCTAGGCTGGTTTAAGCTGGATTTTTCAGCAGGGCTGTTGTATTCATGTACAACTAAACAAATTAATATAAAATAAAACAAGTGAGATCTCTTTGGCAAGCTGCATATCTTTGCGTCACTTGACCCCTCAGCTGACTGGACAGCTTGCTGTGTTGATTTCTCGTAGACTTTGTAGCTTACGTAAATAGTGTTGCTCTCTTGCTGCAGCAGGAGAAATGCATTGAGCTGATGTAGACTTGAGATGAACAGATGGGAGTTCTGTCTCCTTTTCTTTTTTACAGAGCTGAAAAAGGTGACATCCAGATATACACTCACCAGCCACTTTATTAGGTACACCTTACTAAAACTTGGTTGGTCCCCCGTTCAGAACTGCCTTAATCCTTCGTGGCATAGATTCAACAAGCTACTGGAAATATTCCTTAGAGATTTTGCTCCATATTGACATGATAGCATCACGCAGTTGCTCCAGATTTGTCGGCTGCACATCCATGTTGTGAATCTCCCATTCCACCACATCCCAAAGGTGCTCTATTGGATTGAGATCTGGTGATTGTGGACTCATTGTTAAATTATGACATGGCGTATGGCATATCCTGCTGGAAGTAGCCATCAGATCATGGGTACTCTGTGGTCATAAAGTGATGGACATGGTCAGCACCTATGACACCCCTACCTAACAGCACAATCCACATCAGCTTTGAGGGACTAAAATAGTTTTTAAAACAGAACATTACTTGTCTAAAAGAAATACTTCAGCAATGGTGTAGTCCTAAAACTAAAATCTCCTACACACCGGGACGCTTTTCGTGTACATTTATCGTCAGTGTTTTACGAGACGTTTTTCCACATTCAAACCCAAGGATTTGATAAAGTTTTGATTTTACGGCTGTGTCTCGTGTGCACATGAACAAAGGCAGATCTGCATGAACATGAACAGTTGTACAAATCTACATTTGTTGACCGACAGTTTGGGCTACATATCAGAATTAAGGGAATTTTCAGCCTGACAATATTTAATTGGATGAACATTTTTTAGTTTTATGCCTCACCCAGAATATAAAAACACATATAAATACATTTAGATCATTTACTTTAATCAGTACTATTGGAATATGAAGAAACTTTCAACCCATCACCTACTGCACCTTCAATTGAGTGGTGTGATTCGGTACAGTACAGCAGGCGTTCCCAAACTTTTCAGCTCGCGACCCCCAAAATAACAATGCCGGTGACTCGCAACCCCTAATATCCTCTTAGGTGGTTATAAATACAGAAACCTTGCATGCAATGGTGCTCACACACCAATAGACCCAAGTCTGTTCTTCATTTCATTTTTTTAATGCATGTTAGTGCTGCAAATGTGCCAAAAAGTTTAACCTGGTGTTATAAAGTCAATCTGCTGCATCTGATGCTGATGCTGTGTCTTTAATATAATGTAATTACCTCAGGGGTTGCAATCCAACAGAACTAGTAACTATGAGCTACTATAGTAACTTTATATTATATAGTAACTATAAAAAATTATTTTTTCTCTTCAGTAGGATATGAATAAAATATGTTAATTCTTATGGTTTAATAATAATAAATAGATTTTAGATATCACCAAGCAACCCCCCTTCATTGTCCCGTGACCCCTCGGGGGGTCCCAACCCCCAGTTTGAGAACTACTGTAGTACAGTATGCATTTACAGTTTCCACAACGAAAGGTGCCAGAATAGCAAACCATTCCACTTTTTTTTAACTTTTAAATTGCATACAAACATGTTGACATCTTTGGAAACACTTGTAAATTTTAAGTCGGACACTGATGGTCAGTGTTTTGAATCTCTGCTATAGCAGATGATGTTAAATGGTTCAGGAGAGCGAATCACACTGAGAATCCTATTCATATCTGGCCACTTCTCTCCAGTTGGCCAGGAGAAACGAATCCGCTGAAGGAGAGAAGTGACGAAGAGGAAGAGCTCAGTCTTAGCCAGAGTCTCACCAAGACAGGCCCTTGGACCTGGAGCAAAAGAGAAATCAAAGTCAGAGTCACTCAATTTCTACCTGGTTTGTCATTGTTCCAAGTGGCTCACCCAAGGAGAAAGGAAGAAAAGCCTCCGGTTTGAAGAAATGTCCCTTATCATCTAAGAAATTCTCTGGGTTAAAAGTGTCTGGATGCTTCCAGTGCTCTTTGTTAGCCAAAATACCCATCAAGTTAATCAATATCTGAGTTCCCTTGCGAGACAACATTTATTAGTTCATTTCATTCCCATACAAACATAACATACAAGATCATTCAGCACCTGAGGAATGTCGTATCCTCTTAGTTTTATTGGTTTAGTTGTTTGATGAGGCACTCCAGAAGGTGCGACGTTTGCACAACGTTGAATCTCATGAACAGTGGCGAGTGTGTATGGTAGTTGGTCACGGTCATCCATACTGGGAAAGCAGTCAAAACCCAGAACCTGAACAATCTCATCATGACATCGCTCTGGAAGGATACAAAAGCTGGAGTTAATGATGGAATACCACTGTAAGTATGCCACTGGAAAGTTGACTTCCTGCAGAATTTATACCTTCTGGTGGCTTCAAAACTTTGGTACAATAGTAATCAGTTGCTTATTGTTACTCTTTACCTGAATAATTCATTTAATGGACAAACTTTTTTTGGTAATCTTCAAAGTCCTGAGCATTTGCTTCTGTGTTCGGACTGGCTTCTTTTCTGTAGATGTCAGTTTGACGGTGTCAGCCACAATGTTCTTAGCCACACCCATTTTACCATTAGTTGGCTAAGAGTGAATGATGCACAAAAAGAATACTGTCAGTGTTAATTACCTTGTACATCTGGGTTCTGAGTCAAGTAGAGGAGTCCCCATCTGATGGTGGTCGCTGTAGTGTCGGTTCCAGCGAAAAACAAATCACCCACTGACATAACCATGTTATCCTCGTGAAAAGTGGAGTCCTGAGTGGACTTTTGCTGTTCCAGTAAAAACAGAAATATTTACCCATGCGTATCTACTTCATTAGCAGAATACATTGATTCTTGTTAATACTGTATTCCTAGCAGGGATCAGAACCGAAATTATTAGCAATTTTATTTGCAAGTTACCACAGTTACTTTTACTTGACAGAATCAGTCACATTCACAATAGAGATGGGCGATACCACAATTTTTAAATTCGATACGATACCGATACTTTTTGCTAAAAATTTTACGATACCGATATCGATACCACTAATTATTTAGAATGTTAATGTAATTTTTCTAAAAAATGTTAACAATAAAAAAATCATTACATGTAAATATACATACACGCACACACAACCATATTGCATATATACACTGCATAAACATGCATACTGCATACTCATGTGACGTTCCGCCACAGATTGATTGGTGTAACATCTTGTATACAAAGCGTCACTGACAATCCTGTCCACAGCGCTAAAACATTTAGTTATTCAGAAATTAAAACATAGTCGAAATATCGATACTTTAAAAAATATCGATACCAAATTAGAAGCTTCTAAGTATCGATATATCGATACTCGAGCATCAATGTGCACATCCCTAGTTCACAAGCAGTAACAACCATCAAAGAGTGTATTCTACATTTTCTTAAGTGGTAAATCAAGGTGGTCTCACTTTCTCCATCTCCAGCAGGTAGGCATCAATAAAATCTCGTGGACTGTCTGGATCCAGAGTTTCTCTGTGTGCTTTGACTGATTCCCTGATGAAAGACTTAAATTCTTCTCCATTCTGATATATTTTCTGATGTGGCCCTGGCAAATTTTTGATGATAGGAACCAAATTAACCATCTGGAAAAGAAAAAGAGAGAGGAGGGAGCAGTCAGAAAACTAGTCAGTATGTGTCTCACACATTGCAACTCATCTTCTTCACAGATCAGAGATGATCAGGTTGTTGATTGTGGTCTGTGGAATGCTGGTCCACTCCTCCTCTTCAGTGTCTAATGCCAAGTTTAGGATATTGGCTGGGATATTGGAAAGAATGGGATATTGTCTGGAACTTGAACAGGCTATTGCATACTCTGATCCAGAGCATGCTCAATGGGTGACATGTCCAGCGAGCATGCTGGTCATTAGATTAGATTCGATTCGATTCAACTTTATTGTCATTACACATGTCCAAGTACAATGCAACGAAATGCAGTTTAGGTCTGACCAGCAGTGCAATAGCCGCAAGTGCAGGATACAGGTATAAGTTATAAAGTGCTATTATGAAAAGACTATGGTGGTTAGTGATGGGTCGTTCATGAACGATTCGTTTATTTTGAACGAATCTTCAATATGACTCGGGAACTACGAGTCCTCTCAGGGAGTGATTCATTCATCTGGTTGTGCGCATATTTGTGCAGGTAGTATCGTTAATATCAAGTCTTCATCACATTGGCAGAAGCCAATCATATGCGTTTAGAGCCGGAAAAAGAACTGATCAGTTCACCTCTCGAGTCCTCTATCTGGTCTGAGTCACTCGTTCATCACGGGCCAATTATATGCGTTTAGAGCCGGAAAAAGAACTGATCCGTTCACCTCTCGAGTCCTCTATCTGGTCTGAGTCACTAGTTCATCACGGGCCAATCATATGCGTTTAGAGCCGGAAAAGAATTGATCCGTTCATCTCTCGAGTCCTCTATCTGGTCTGAGTCACTAGTTCATCACGGGCCAATCATATGCGTTTAGAGCCGGAAAAGAATTGATCCGTTCATCTCTCGAGTCCTCTATCGGGTATGAGTCACTCGTTCCTCACGGGCCAATTCTATGTGTTTAGAGCCGGAAAAGAATTGATCCGTTCATCTCTTGAGTCCTCTATCGGGTATGAGTCACTCGTTCCTCATGGGCCAATCATATGCGTTTAGAGCCGGAAAAAGAATTGATCCGCTCACCTTTCAAGTCCTCTATCGAGTCTGAGTCACTCGTTCATCACAGGCCAATCATATGCGTTTAGAGCCGAAAAAAGAATTGAACCGTTCATCTCTCGAGTCCTCGGGTTTGAGTCATTCTGTCACGTGATGAACGAACGATTATGGCTCCTATCGGCTTAGACTGTGCATTGATTAAGGTTATATGTGACTGTCAGTGTAACATGAATGAACCCCTGACATTTGAAGACATGAAGAGGTGAGCTGAGCAAAGAGACAACAATACCTTCATAGACAAAAGAGCAGGTAAACATTGAATTATTATTTTCTCCTTCTTATAGTATTCTACTTATGACTTATTTGTCGTGCAATCAACCTTTTGGGCTAGTTGTATATGTGTTTGGAAGCAATTCGTAACATTTTAATAATATTTTGGCAAATTGAACCAAATGACTCGAAAAAAGATTCGTTCATCTTGATGAACGAGACTCAAAGATTCGAGTCAGTAAAATGATCCGAACTTCCAATCACTAATGGTGGTATTTACAGATGGATGTACAATCAACATTTCGTCTTGACCAGGCTGGAGGTGTTGGTGATCCGGGAAAGGTCCTTTGAGATATGGGTCCCCAGGAACTTGAAGGATGAGACAGGCTCAACGGCCATCCCATTGATGTGAATGGGATCATGTGAGCCTGTTCGTCCCTTTCTGAAGACCACAATGAGCTCCTTGGTCTTGTTGGTGTTAAGGAGCAGATTTATTGTCGGTGCACCAAGTGGCCAGATGCTGTATTTCCTCCCTGTAGGCAGTCTTTGGTCATGCAAGAACTGGGATGTTTTCAGCCCCCAGGAATTGTGTACAGATTCTTCCAATATGGAGCCATGCATTTTTAGCCTCATGATCTTGTTGTGGTACCTTTGTGCATTCAACATGCCATCAATAACATTCAGCTGTGTTCATTGTCCACACCTGCCCATACAATAATCACTTTGCCTTCATGGGCCACCCTATACACAGTACAAATTGATCACCCTTACAACGCCTACACACTGTCTGACATCTGCCCTGTGCAGTGATAACCAGGATTTATCTGTGAAGACAACACCACCCCAAAGTGCCCAATGCCATCGAATGTGAGCATTTGCCCACTCCAGCTGGTTACAGTAAAGAACTAGTCAGGTCGAGACCCTGATATGGATAATGTTTATGCAGATGAGCTTCTCAGAGACAGGTTTCTGACAGTTTGTGCAAAAAAAAAAAAAAAAAGTTTGATTATGCAAACCAATTGTTGCAGCAGCTGTCCGGGTGACTGGTCTCTGACAATCTTGGATTTGAAGATGTTTTGGTCAGTGGTTATGAATGGATGTACCATCAAATTCTCTGAAATGCCTTTGGAGATTTTTGTTGCTAGAAAAATGACTATTCAATTCACATTTCACCAATCGGCTTGACAATTACATGCTCCCTCAAAACTTGCGAAATCTGTAGGATTGTGCTGTGTTGTCAAACCGCACATTTCAGAAAGGCCATATACTGTGTCCAGCCTAAGTCACATTTGTGCAATAATCATGAGGTGTAATCAGCATTGTGATATATCACACCAGTGAGAAGGATGGATTATCTCGGCAAAGAAAAAGTCCTGACTAGTGCTTTAGACAAATTGTGTGGACAACATTTTAGAGAAATTGACATTTTTTTGTATGTAGAAAAACTTTTAGATTTTTCAAGAGTTCACACTTAGCTGATGATTGATTATAAAGCTTGTTTAGCATGCTGTCCCGGGAGAGAGCCCTGACCTCATAAGATCCTCGAGCCCAGGGCTCCCTCCTGTTGCAGGGTGAGAGGGGAGTTTGAGCTCAGGTAGATCTCGAAACTCCCCTGCTGTAGTAACTAATGAACAGATAGTGATTGCTCTTAAGAAATAGCTACTTACTAGCAGCATGCCTATGGTACAGATTTGGATTAGTCAATTAACTTAAGTTGCATGTTTTTTGGACGGTGGGAGGAAACTGGGGGAAACCCACATGAGTACGGGGAGAACGTGTAAACTCCGCACAGAAACCTTAGGACTAGAACCAGTAATGTTCTTGCTGTGAGGCAACAGTGCTAACCACTGGGCCACCGTGTCACCCATCTAGGAAAGGAGGAGGAGTATGGGGGATTCTTCAAAATGAAGATGGATGTGATATGGAACCCAGGGTATTTATAGTGGCTCATAGATATATATACACTAGATGTCGCCTGGCCTGTTGTTGACTATTGGACGGAATGCGTCAATAGCGCCGCCATCTTGCTACAGGGTAGCGCTCCTTTGAAATGAATGCGGGACCGAGGTACAGTGGAGGACTGTGACCATGCAAAGCCAGAGATATACACATATATCTGTGATCGGGAGTTTTCCTGGATGTTAGTATGTAATTTTTATTTTCTAATTACGAAAATTATAATTTTACATCACTTTTCTACATTGATGGATCAGTGACCGCACCGGCATTCCTGACAAAAAGCTTGTGTTTGTGTGTACAGAAATGTACTATCCACCCTCCCTGTTATATTTAATCTAATCCGTGTCCTGAAACACATCTCCTCTCCTGCTTTCACTTCTCATACTGACGGAGGGAGCGATTCGTTTGTGAATGAATACCACGAACGACTATAATTACTATATTATTCACGTAATAACACTGTCTTGACTAGTGCGGTTGAATGACATTTGTCGTGGGAGCACTGTACCAATGTGGCGGCGCTATTGACGCATGCTCAGGGTCCCTATGCGATATCTAGTGTATATATCTATGATAGTGGCTTAGGAAACGTCTGATTGGTGAATCATGAATTGGCTAATGCATGACCAGCTGTGTTCATCATAAGCATGTGATCCTCTCGAAATTAGTTTATAAATAAACTTCACTGTGAGTTCAGTGTTGCATTCATATTAGTAGTCCTATGTACCTTTTAGTAATTATTTTGCGATCTTTAAAATGTTTCCACTCTATTTGCACTTGATATCTACTCAGAAACTGAAGGTCCTCTAGGAAAGTTCAGCCAAATTTGAAGAAATACTGGCAGATAACATAGCACTCTGTTCACATTCTGTGTTAACATGCTTTAAAGTAGGAAAGTAATACATTTTTAATGCAGCACTTCATTCACTTTTCATTTCATTTGAGTCAAGATCAACTCTGCTGGAAGTAGAATCATGGTATCAGATTCGGACATCTTGTAAAAATATACTTAGAAGTATTCTTGGCACTGTTCCATACCTGTCCAGCAAATGACCCTGCCAGATCGAGGTTTTCTTTTATGATTTCCAGAAGATACGTGAAGCTCTTGTTATCATAGTCAAATCGATCTCCAAACACGATGGAGCAGATAATGTTGGCAGCAGCGTTGTGTATTGCGTGTTGGGGGTTGAACGGTTTGCCTGTAACAAAGAAGAACATTAGTCAGAGTTTGACACTTAAACCTGAATAGATTAAATCTTGCCAAATCAAATGAATTAATATGGCATGACAGCTAACTTTAAATAACACCTGAAAAGATATTCAGAGACTAAAGGCCTACTCACACTATGCCATCGGTACCGTGCCCAGGCCCGTTTCCCAGATCGTTTGAGAAGTGTGAGTGCGCTGAATCGGGCTCAAGCACGGTTCACTTGGCCGGCCCTGGCCCGGTTGGAAGAGGTGTGCCTGAGCGCGGTTCACTTGGGCTTTGGCACGGTACGCTTGTGTGCGAGTGCAAAATGCGCCAAAGCCCGAAACTGAAAGCGAGACGTGACTTTTAAGGGGCTGTTTCATATTGATTTATTTATCATTTTTACTGTTCAGTGAACGCAAACTGCCGTAGTTTATTAAAGACGTGAACTCCTCACAGCACGACAGCTGCGCGGCTTCAGCAGACCTCCTCATTCCTGCCGCACAAGAGCTTTATGATTGTTTATGAGCGCCAAAAGTGGTGGATCTGTTCGGCGAAATTTCTGACTGCGTGTCACCGCATACCTAAGGACTGTTTGGCGAAATATTTGACGGCATATCAAACGACTGAAACGATATAACTAGAGAAATCTCCACTGTGCTGCTGAGTGAGACAGCGCTTCTCACTGAACAGCGCAGCAGCGATGACGTAAGCGTGCCGAGGCCCATTTGTTGTGTGAGTGCGGCCGTCGGGGGAGATGGGAGGGGGGACAAGCGTGCTTTGGCCCGGTTCGAGGCAACTGTACCTAGTGTGAGTACGGCCTAAATCCTTAATAACCTTCCACTCTGAGCAATTCAGAAATCAGGTAACCGCTTTCCTCCGTCACACGTTCCTCCACAGACTTCTTTCCCAGACCAAAGTTTCTGAGTGTGTGCAGAGCAAACCGTCTCTGCTGCCTCCATGAGTGACCATCCATAGCCATTATGATACCTGATGAAGAGAGACGAAACCTTCATAATTATACACAAACAAGTTGAACAAAAAACATATCATAAACATCTGTATAGACCAATCGGCTTTAAACATCATGACAAAGATGATTTACTCAACCTTGGCCTCTACAGAGCTCAAAATTCCTCAAGTACCTTTGCTACTAACAATCTTGCAAAAATCAAGTGCTTTTTGTATGCAGTGGTCCCTCGTTAATCACGGGAGTGAAGTTCTAAAAATAGCCTGCAATAGGTGAAATCCACAAAGTGGAAAATTATATTTTATTATTTAATTTATTTACAATTATTACAGATGTTTTAAGGCTGTAAAACCGAATGTAACAAACCAAAGATTCATTTATTCTGTAATGGCGCCCTACATCCGCGCAACTTCTACACTACTTTCCGGAAGTCCAACATTTTGTGCGATGGGTAGCAGCTTTTTTTGACTTTTGGGTGCTACTGCAGATGCGTTTGAGGATGCAGAACGTCTTGTAGAAATTGTGGGGTTTGTTGTGGAGAAAACTCCATGGAGGACATTGATTGACAATGGTCTGAAGACAATCAGGGGTCCGTTTTTCGTACGTGGATTACTCAGTTAGCTGGATTTGGATGTTGACGATTTGACACGATCCAGGATCGTTTCGTTCTTCAAAGCTGATCTGAGAGTTGTTGTCATAGCAACAGTTCTGCTAGCTCAAACCTGATCGAGGCAGGTTCAATTCATATAAACAGGATTAGATCGGCTCAGTTCAAGCAAAGATAATACAGAGAGTATGTTCCGAATTCTGATATTTTCTAAAAGTAGTAGTTATATACACTTGGGAAAATGGTAAATATTTTTAACTATATATATAAAGTTATAGTTATTAATAAAATAAATAGAGTTATACATATTAATAAAACTTATGCAATCTGCACCCTCGAAATGATAGTACAAAGACTGCCACCTGGTGGTGCAAAGAGAAAACTTATTGATATGAACTTTTTAGATCGCTTTAGTACAAATTGTGTATAATAGAAATGCACAATATGACTTTTTTAAAGCAATAATATATTTATGCAGTCATGAACATGTTTTGAAAGTTAATATGCCGGTGATTTGATGCTTCACAAAAGTTGCAGACGCCTTTACCAATATGAAAACGCTTTTGTAAACATCCAGTTATTCTTTACACCGATTAAAAAACGGCTACTATAATAAAGAAAATCTTTTCTAAATGTAGAACTAAATACACTGATGTGCATTGAAATACATGATGAATACTCTCGACACATGACAGTGTAAAGCCTGCAGCTCACAACAAATGTGGAAGGTTATTGTGTGTTAATTGTAACAAACCGCAATACTGCTAATTTGATGTAATTTTGCTCACATGGATAATTGAATATTAATCAGATGATGTCATTACGCTGATGTGCCGTCAGCTAGTCGTTGCATTGCTGATCATGATTTTGAGGATCGATAGATCTGTCCTTCACAAGACACACAGCAATCTCAGATCAGTTTATCCAGACATTCTAATCTGATTTGCGAACTTGTTTGAAGAACCAAATTAGCGAGAGATCAGTTATCAAGATATAAAGATCCAGGATCTGCCAAATCATCTTAGATCATTTAAGCGAGGTACGAAGAACGGACCCCTGGACGTAGAACATAATGCACTAACCTGGAAGCAGAACACAACGGCTCTGAAAATGCATGTCAAATTGCACAAAAAAAATAATCGGCGAAACTGCGAAGCCACGAAAGGTGAACCGCGTTATAGCGAGAGACCACTGTACTGGCTTTTGGATAAGCTCTCTTAAGAAGTACAGATAACAGTTTAAGACAGTTCTGGAGGTAATAATAATACTGAACCACTGTGATGACAGACTTTGGCTTAGGGATTTCAGAATGACCAAAACAACATAAACATTTCAGATGATTTACAATATTACAATTTAGCTGGCAGCTAGCTCTCTGCAACTCTCACATGGCCGCCCACTGAAGCTAAGTAGGGCTGCGCCCGGTCAGTACCTGGATGGGAGACCCAGCCTGATCTCACGAGAAAACGTAAGTATTTTACGTTTTGCCAGTTTAGTGGCTAATTCGTACGAATTCGTACGATTTCAGTCGTACGAAATGATACGATTTTAAAAAGGAGGCGTGGCACCTAACCCCACCCCTAACCCCAACCGTCATTGGGGGATAAGCAAATCGTACTAAATTGTACGAATTAGATCGTACGAATTCATACAAATTGCCGTGAGATTGTGTTGGGAGACCACATGGGAAAGCAGAGGGCAACCAACCTGCGGTCTGTGTGGGTCCTGATGCACCAGTATAGTGACGGGAACCCTATACTGCTCAGTGAGCGTCATCTTTCGGATGAGACTTTAAACCAAGGTACAAACTCTGTGGACGTTAAAAATCCCAGGCATCCTGGCCAAATTTGTCCACTGGCTTCCTTACCCTCCCCATATCATAATTGGCTTCATCACTCTGTCTCCTCTCTACCAATCAGCCTGTTTGTGTTGTGCGTTCTGGTGCAAAATGGCTGCCATCGAATCATCCAAGTGAATGCTGCACACTGGTGGTGGATGAGGTGATTCCCCCCTATGTGTAATGCGCTTTGAGTGCCCAGAAAAGGGCTATATAAATGTAATAAATAATAATAATATGGTCGGTCAACTTGTTTTGTCCATCCATTTTGCCCCAGTTCCAACATTTAAGCAGATTAATATTGTGCTTTATAAATTGGCTATGTGTGATGTATATTAAAATATAATCACATGACTTTTTTGATGTAAATGCTAGAATTTAGGCAGTAAATCTGTTTCCATTATGCACTGTATCATTTTTTTCTTATAGGACAAAAGATTGATCCTCTGTTGTGCTTTAAGCTTATGCACATTTAATTAATTAATTAATTAATTAATTAATTAATTAATTAATTAATTAATGAGCATCTTGAGACTACCATTCTGCATTTTTTATGATAATTAGATGGATAGCTAGTAATACCAGTAAACTGATTTAAATTAACCAGAATAGCTTTACTGGTAAGTTCAATAGCAGAATTCCAGCAACCCGAATCTTAGCTTTCCTGATCCCATTTCCTCTCTAGCCACTTTCACTACCTGTCTAATATAGTGTGCTAATAAAGTAAAGGCAAGAATGCCAAATATATACATGTTTGAAATGAAAAGGTAAAGGGTCTGTGCATGATCTCTCTGTGACAGGGGTGTCAAACTCAATTCCTGGAGGGCCGAAGCCCTGCACAGTTTAGTTCCAACCCTGCTCCAACACACTTACCTGTAGGTTTCAAACAAGCCTGAAGGACTCAATTAGTTTGATCAGGTGTGTTTAATTAGGGTTGGAACTAAACTGTGCAGAGCTGCGGCCCTTTTGCAACTGAGTTTGACACCTGTGCTCTATGGCAATTTACTATATTTTTCAAAAAAGTAAGTGTAAAAGGCGGTTCTATGAGAACCATTAGTTGTGGCCTTCAATAACAACTTTGCAGTTTCACAGCATAATGCATTACTGACCGTATCCCTGATTGACCCAGGTTAAAACAGGTACTGGTGGCCTTCCAGAGAAAGATGAACCATTCTGGACGAAGGCTTCCTTCATGAGCTGGAGTGCGTTAAGAATTATCGCCGGCTTTCTCCCAAGATACACAGTAGTCATCTCTCCATACTGAGATAACTGATCAGAGAAGATTGCACGACATTACTATACAGTCAGTGTGGTCTAGACATGGTCTTACTTGTGAATGTCAAGTCAAGATAGCATACAACAGCATAACATGAGATAAGACTTACTGATCTTATGAAGCCCATTGGGTTCTTCAAGAAATGAGGTATAGTTCCCACAAAAGGAAGAGGTGTGGGACCAGGTGGATATCGACCTTTGTAAATACGAATCCTGCAGATTTCAAACAGAGCCAGACAAAATAAGCCTAGAAACAGACTCAAGCCCACAGAGGACAAGTCTAACTTCAGGAGTCCCACTAACATGATGACAGACAAATGCAAACACAAGAGCAAGAAATGGAGCTTTATAACAGCAGAAGAGGAAGAGGGAGGAGACAAAGATCGAGAGAAGAGGGAGACTACAGAATTGCATAGAATACAATAAACACAAAAAGCATTCAAGCACAGTGTTTCTCAAAATAAGAATGAAGATAACTATGCTGATAATATTATCCAAGTAACAAATGCAGTGAATGTTCAAATTTTGGTTTAAGATTTAATTTGTACTTCATATTTACAAAAGTTTGTAATCATATTGCACAAAAAGACATTGTGCTCTGGCTGTTTGGATGCAGTTAAATGTGTAGCAGAAAATATCATACTCACATCAGCAAACTTGTAACACTGAAATCAGGATTAGCCATAAAATCATGTCCTACATGTAAAAGCAGGTTGAGCATTGAACAAATAATCGAAACTCGTCTCAGATTTAAAGAGGAATCACAAGTGTGTCTTCCGCTAAAGTTGACCAGTTCACTGTCTGACAAGCTGCTCAACAAATGTTAATCAAGATTAGGTTAAGCTTGTTATTTACTGATGAATGTTAAGTCACTGCAGGTCTATCAGTCCGAATTCTCATAAACATGTTAGTGTTGAACTGATGGACCATGCATTGGTCTTTGCATAAGATGCAATCTTCTAGAAATCACATAGTTTTCTTGCTGGCTGTGAAACGTTAATCTCTTTGACCTCTCTCATCTGGACAATCTGAGGGTTTCAGTCATTTTGCAAGGACTCCTCCACCTAGCAAAAACTAGGCAAACTGGAAAGTTTGGTTGCCAGTTCAATAGTGTTTGTTCAACAGAGTGTGCTCAGAATCTGAACATACCAGTGTAGCAGAATTTCATCAATAACTGAAAGAAACTTTAAAGTGATGTCTAATTTTGACCAGTGTTGGATTTCCAATGTACTCACCAGCCACTTATTAGGTACACCAACTGTTTGTTAATGCAAATTTTTAATCAGCCAATCACATGGCAGCATGTAGACATGGTCAAGACAATCTGCTGCCGTTCAAACAGAGCATCAGAATGGAAAAGAAAGCTGATTTAAGTGACTTTGAACTTGGCATGGTTGTTGGTGCAAGACGGGCTGGTCGGAGTATTTTAGAAACTGCTGATCTACTGGGATTTTCATGCACAACCATCTCTATATAGTTCATGCAGAGAATGGGCTGAAAAAGAGAACATATCCAGTGAGCGGCAGTTCTGTGGGTGTAAATGCCTTGTTGATGCCAGAGGTCAGAGGAGAATGGCCAGACTGGTTCCAGCTGATAGAAAGGCAACAGTGACTTAAATAACCAATGTTGCCTGGTCTGATGAGCCTCGGATGGTAGGGTCAGAATTTGGCACCAACAAATTGAAAGCATAGATCCATCCTGCCTTGTATCAATGGTTTAGGTTGGTGGTGGTGGTGTAATGGTGTGGGGGATATTTTCTTGGCACACTTTGGGCCCATTAGAACCAATTGAGCATTGTGTCAACGTCATGGGCTACTTAAGTATTGTTGCTGACCATCTCCATCCCTTTATGACCACAGTGTCTCCATCTTCTGATGGCTACTTCCAGCAGGATAACGCATGTCAAAGTGCAAATCATCTCAGACTGGTTTCTTGAACATGACAATGAGTTCACTGTACTCAAATGGCCTCCACAGTCACCAGACCTGAATCCAATAGAGCACCTTTGGGATGTGGTGGAGCGGGAGATTCGCATCATGGATGTGCATCCGACAAATGTGCTGCAACTGTGTGATGCTATCCCATCAGTATGGACCAAAATCTCTGAGGAATATTTCCAGTACCTTGTTGAATCTGTGCCATGAAGTATTAAGGCAGCTCTGAAAGCAAATGGGGGTCCAACCCGGGTAATAGTAATGTGTACTTAATATAGTGGCCGGTAAATTTGCAGCAGTAGATTAAATTGTTAAATGTAAGAAAATCTATCACCCAAATGTAGGGGGACTCCAGCATCAGGATTGGCTCTTTCGTGATTCTAACAAGCAGATACATCAAATAGGAAAGACTCTTGATGGAGGCATCCAGCATTACTGCAGTCAAAATGAAAACAAACACCAAAATGTCAGCTTTCAAGAAGGTGGAGTGCTCATGTTGCATAGATGACCACGGGCACAGTTGTGTTGACAGCTTGCAGGAATGCAGACAGTGATTTATGATCCACCTTTGGCCCAATTTAAACTTAAGTGTAAAGCTAACAAGACATTTAGCACTCACTCATGCCTGTCCAACAAGTGACCACACCTGAGTGAGATTCTACTTCAGGATTCCGAGAAGATATGCAAAGTGTATATTATCATGATTGAATCTATCCCCAAACACAGAAGATAATGTCAGAAAGGTGTTCTGTGCTGCATGTTGGGGCTCAAACAGCTTGCCTTTAACAAAGAAATCAATGAGTTCAGGCAGGGGTGCTCAGCCCTGTTCATGGAGATCTACCTTACTACAGAGTTCAGCTCCAACCCTTATCAAACACAACTAAACTAATGATTAGTGATGGGTCGTTCATGAACGATTCGTTCTTTTTGAACAAATCTTCAATATGACTCGGGAACTACGAGTCCACTCGGGGAGTGATTCGTTCATCCGCGTGTGCGCACATTTGTGCAGGTAGTATGGTTAATTTCAAGTCTTCATCACATTGGCAGAAGCCAATCATTCGCGTTTAGAGCCGGAAAAAGAATTGATCCGCTCACCTCTCGAGTCCTCTATCGGGTCTGAGTCACTTGTTCCTCACAGGCCAATCATACGCGTTTAGAGCCGGAAAAAGAATTGAACCGTTCATTTCTCGAGTCCTCGGGTTTGAGTCATTCTGTCACGTGATGAACGAACGATCATGACTCCTATCGGCTTAGACTGTGCATTGATTAAGATTATATGTGACTGTCAGTGTAACGTGAATGAATCCCTGACATTTGAAGACATGAAGAGGTGACCTGAGCAAAGAGAGAACAATACCTTCATAGACAAAAGAGCAGGTAAACACTGAATGATTATTTTCTCCTTCTTATATTCTACTTATGACTTATTTGTCGTGTGATCAACCTTTTGGGCTAGTTGTAGATGTGTTTGGAAGCAATTCGTAACATTTTAATAATATTTTGGCAAATTGAACCAAATTAACGAAATTACTTGAAAAAAGATTCGTTCATCTAGATGAACGAGACTCAATGATCCGAGTCAGTAAAATGATCCGAACTTCCCATCACTACTAATGATCAAGGTTGCAGCAGGAAGGTAGATGTCCAGGAACAAGGTTGAATCAGCCTGATCTCCCGAGGAAACGCAAGTATTTTGCGTTTTGTCAGTTTAGTGGCTAATTTGTACAAGTTCAGTCGTACGAAAATGTATGATTTTAAAAAGGAGGCGTGGCACCTAACCCCACCCCTAACCGTCATTGGGTGATAAGCAAATCGTACTAAATTGTACAAATTAGATCGTACAAATTCATACAAATTAGCCACTAAACCAAAAAGTTAAAAATTGCCGTGAGATTGTGTTGGGATAAACACCCCAGAGATAAGCCTCACTCACACAATGCAATATTATGTCAAGTCAGACTGCATAAACATGGCTCCCATTTCACACTGTAAGAACTCAGCTGTCAACTTCAGATTAACTGTTGTCTGAAATTTTCTGACACTGCCAGAACTTCATTGGAGGGAAAATCTGATTGCAAGGGCTACTAAGCGTCATGTCAAACCAACAATCGAAGATCACAGATTTTAGCCTAGGACTTCAGAATTCTTTTTGGTTTTCTCAAATTTGTCTCAGGTGAGCAAAATCGTGGTTGAAATCCCACAGTGTGAGCAGGGCTTTAGTGTTTGGCAAGGAAAAATAGTTTAAAGAGAGTCTTGCTGGTCATACATTCAAGGGTCTCGAGATGGTCAAAGTCCAAAAAAAAAGGAACCAAAAACATTGATAAAACATTCCATGCGACTCTAGTGGTTCAACTGTACTTATACCAACGTCCAATCACAGTCACACTCCTGCACAGTCACCAAATCTAATTATTATTGAGCCATTTTGGGGTGTTTTGGAGGAGAGAGTCAGGAAACATTTTCCATCAGCAGCATCACGTAGTGACCTGGCCACTATTCTGCAAGAAGAACGGCTTTAAATTTCTCTGGCCACTGTACAGGACTCTGTCATTCCCATGACCAATTGATGCTATATTAGTCACAAAAGGAGGCCCTACAGCATACTAATAAATTATTGTGGTCTAAAACCAGGCATTTTGATTTCAGTGTGGCCAGTAGAGGACACTATCCTAATGCCATGTCACAAGTCCTAATGCCCTAGTATAGTGAAGGGAACGCTGTATTCTGAGCGAGCACTGTCTTTCTGGCGAGACGTTGAGCTGAGGTCCTGACTCTCTGTGGTCACTAAAATTCCCATGGCACTTTTTAAGATCAGAGGTGTAATGCTGTGTTCACACCAGACACGGAACGCACGGATAAATCGCGATATTCGCGCGTAAATTGCCGCATGAACATTTGAGATTACTCGCTTCATTCGCACATCAAACCCCGCTTCATTCGCGCATCAAATCTGCTTCATTCGCATGTCAAATCTGATTCATTCCCGTGTCAAATTAACTTCAGAACAGACGCGGATTCGCGTGATGGGCAGGGCCACCTGCCACCATTATTTCTTCCATGTAAAGACACAATATGGAAATGTAGAGTTTTCAGTGTCTAGAATGAACTGTATAATTTAGTAGACTAGTCATCTAGACCTGCTCATCCATAGATCTGGGAGAGCAAAGAATTGGTGAGTGAGGTAATCTCCACTTCAGATACTGCAGTTTACTAACAAAGTGACCAGCGCCGACTACTGGCCTGGTATACACAATACAGCACTTGTAAGGTGTTTTAGCGGATGTGCAAGTGTGAAAATGTTGGTGTGTTTATGTAAACATTTTTAAAAATGCAAGGGAAACACTTGAATTTTTAACTACACCACTGCCATGTAAACTTAACCTAAATTTATTTAGTAATTTGACAAACCGCTGACTCACCCAGGGAAAATGGAATGAAAGACTCCGGCTTGCTGAATTGTCCGTTCTTATCCAGGAAATTCTCTGGGTTAAATGTGTCAGGATGCTTCCAGTGCTCCTTATCGCTTAGAATAGCAGCCAGGTTTGTCATGACTACAGTTCCCTGTATGAGGAAAAAAAGTTTAGAAGTGTTTTAACTAAATCAGAGCTCAACAATAAGGACTGTCTGGTGGCCTGTTATTTTTTTCATAACCTGGTAACAATCAGTACAGCGAAAAGACAGCGGCAACATCAAACTATGAGGCTAAAAGAAAACGTCTGTTTCTAAAGTCTTGGAAGCAGACAATTATATGGATACAAAATTAAGAAAACTGAAAAAAGAACAAGAAAAAAAAAATATATATATATATATTTTTTTTTTATTAAATATTTCCCAAATGATTTTTAACAGAGCAGGGAAGCTTTCACAGTACATCTTATAATATTTTTTTCTTCTGGAGAAAGTCTGATTTGTTTTATTTCGGCTAGAATAAAAGCAGTTTTAAATTCTTAAAAAAACTTTTTTGGGACAAAAGTATTAGCCCCTTTAAGCTAATTATTTTTTTGATAGTCTACAGAACAAACCATCGTTATACAATAACTTGCCTAATTACCCTAACCTGCCTAATTAACCTAATTAACCTGGTTAAGCCTTTAAATGTCACTTTAAGCTGCATAGAAGTGTCTTGAAAAATATCTAGTCAAATATTATTTACTGTCATCATGACAAAGATAAAATGAATCAATTATTAGAGATGAGTTATTAAAACTATTATGTTTAAAAATATAAAATTTATTGGGGGAAAAAACAAACAGATGGCCCTAATAATCCGGGTGGGCTAATCATTTGGACTTCAACTGTATGTATATATACTGTATGTATACTGTATACATATACTTATACATACTTATATACAAAGCCATTTTTCTAAAAATTATTTAGAACTGCAATTAAATACCAGCACATTTTTATACTGCTCTTTCGTTGGCATAAAATCTTGAATTTTGCTCATTATACATTTATTAACATTTATAAAATGTTTAAATTCTAGATTCACAGACATTATTTAAAATATGTGGCTGAGAAATAGCTATTAACTATAGCTATTAATTATTATTATTTTATTTTATTTTTTAAGCCCAGTAGAAAATATCCTTAGCGTTAAACCCTGTAAATGCATGAAAAAAATGCATTAAAAAAATGTATGGCAATTTCTTCTTTTTAATGTTGTCATGAAATGTAACCTAAACATTCCCCCAGCCTGAAAAGAATTGGCTATATGTGAAAGCGTAAATCATAGATTTTAAGATAATTATTATAGAGAACAATTTGGTGACACAGTAACTGTATATAAGATCTTTATACATTCAAAATGCGTGAAGCCTAAAGCTTAATATTTGTCATATTGTGTTTAGATGGAAATTACTGAATCAACTACTTTAATAAAAAGAACTGATTTGCTTTGATATTCCACTTGAACATGAAAAGCCAGGGCAGATGTCAGTCTTTACAATTCATTAAATAGCTTCATTCACTCAAGCCTCATTCATTACCTGAGGAATGTCGTATCCACGTAGTTTTGTCGGTTGAATTGTTTCATGAATCACACCAAAAGGTACAAGGTTCGCACATCGCTGAATCTCGTGAACAGTGGCGAGTGTGTACGGTAGTTTGTCACGGTCATCCATGCTGGGTAAGCGGTCGTAACCCAGAACCTGAACAATCTCCTCATGACATCGCTCTGTGTTGTGAGACAAATGTTTAGGGGGAAAAAAAAAGTTTAGTACCCAGAAAATACAAATGTTCTCCTAAAGTTCCTAAATGGATTAGAGCTGCAATTGGGCCATGAAAGTTACTAATTACAACAACTACATTTTTATTGACAGCTTTTTAAAAGCCCGAACTTGTTTACAGCCCGACAATATTCAAATATGCACAGCTCTCTTGCCTTTTTCATGAATGAGTCGTTTATTTCAGAATTAGAAAGAGCTTTTTTAATTACAGTAATATTATTGACTAAAATGAAAATGTTCATCTGATTTATGTACAATGCAGCTTGTAAACTAATATTTCTGTCTTTTAGTAGATATATTATATGAGAGACTTGCTTTGTCTATCAAAAAAAGTAAATCTAATCGGATTTGCAATTTAAACATTAATTAAAAGTTAAAAAGGTATTACTTAGGTTTAGTTATGACACTCTTAAAATAATTCCGCAGACTTTTACCAAAATTCTCCTCAGAGCAAAAAAACGTCCACAGATCCCGTCTGGCCCAAGCTATAGGCCACTATAGGTCACTATAGGCCACTATAGGTGTGAACGCTCCAGCCTAGGCTGGTTTAAGTAGTTTTTTTTTTTCCAGTAGGGCAAATAACAACATTCTCTAGACTTTCTCTAACTTTCCAGAAAGTTACAGGTAGGGTTTTTTTTTGTTTACCAATTTAATACAACCTAAAAGAAAATGTTTTCCTAACCTAGACGGAACATTTTATTTAGATGCTGGTCCTGACAAAACAACTTTGCTGGTTAGTTACATCCAAGCTAAAATCAATTATGACCACATCTCAGAAAACTGACAAAACTTAAAGCACCATTTCAAGTGGAAAACATAGACTAAATGCGAAGGTTTAGTACCTTGTACATCTGGGTTTTGAGTCAAGAAAAGGAGTCCCCATCTGATGGTGGTCGATGTGGTGTCGGTTCCAGCCAGAAACAGGTCAGCTGTTGAAATAGCCAGGTTTCCTTCATGAAATGTGGAGTCTTTGTTGGACTTTTGCTGTTTCAGAAAGAACAAAGCTGTCAGTTTACAGAAGCCACAGTTAAAACAAAAATCTAGCTTCTACATGAACACGTGAAAACCTTTCTTTCATGATCTCACCTTCTCAATCTCCAGCAGATAGGCATCAATGAAGTCTCGTGGACTGTCTGGATCCAGAGTTTTTTTGTGTTCTTTAACTTCACCCTGAATGAAAGCTAACAACTCATTGGCGTTCTGCTTGATCTTCTGGTGTGGACCAGGGAAATGCTTGATGAAGGGGGCCAAGTTGAAAATCTAAGACAGACAAAGCATCATGAGGTAACAGGGATGTTTGTTATCCATGTTTGAATTTTTATACCAACATTTGCGGCTTAAAGGATGGCCACAAATGTAGGTTTTTCAGTGGGTGGCCTTGGCAAATAATAAATAAGTCAGAATACTACATGAGGATGAATGTGCAAGATGCATATAAAATAAATAAAGTCATGAACAAGGAATTTAATCATACCTGTCCTGCTGCTGATCCAGTGAGCACAAAGTTTTCATTTAGGAGTTCCAGAAGGTATTCAAAGCGTTTGTTATCGTAGTCGAAGCGATCTCCAAACACGATGGAGCAGATAATGTTGGAAACGGCGTTCTGTATGGGATGATGGGGACTCATTGGCTTGCCTACAAAAAAAACAAAAAACAATTTCCATTGCAGTACAATTTTGAAAACTGTAATATGCAAAAAGCAGCATATATATCCTATAGGGGTGTCACGGTTTCGAAATTTATGCTCAATTTTGATTATCGAATCAAAAAATAGAATCGTCGATGCTGCCACGCCCCCATGTCACGTCAGCTTTTAGATTTCCAGTGAGATATGTTGACAACATTCGTGTTGACGACAAAAAAAAACAAAACACAGTTTTGCAAGCTCTGCTATGTATGTATTACGTACGGTTGGTCCGATAGACAACACCGGCATCGCGATCCTCCGCCCGCCCCCGTTGCAAATCCGCTCGCGAAAAGTACACACTCAGGCCCTGTTTACACTGTCTTTGTTTTTAAATGGCATTTTAGAACGACAACGATTTGACATCTACAGTGGCGTGTAGCATTTCTGAGCAGCCCTCCTTCCCCACTACTGCTGAAAACGCACATCACGTGACCACACAGACACAGACGCACACACAGCAATGTGCTCGAGAAAGCAGGTCCAGGCAGTCAGAGGACTGCTTCAAACTTTCACTCACTTGTACTTAGTCATTTTAGCGAACACCTCAGATACTGTTGGCTGGTTCCTGTTGATTGTGCCTCTTTTTTTACCGACGCCATTATAACGACACAGATCACTGCCTATTCACGAATCCCGCAGAAAAAGTGATTGACAGGTGGTAATTATATGTGTAAATTGCCTTTATTCATTTACTGTATGATTTATTTATGGGTAAAACAAAGACCATGCAGGTCAGGTAGTCTAAACGGTAGGCTACAAATAATTAAATGGTCATTAATTCATTAATTATTCATAATCTAAAATCAAATCGAATCGTGCTTTCAGAATCGAAAATGTAATCGAATCGAGAATTTGTAGGATCGTGACACCCATAATATCCTATAGCATTTTTGGTCTTATTAGAAATATTCCATAAGGGTTCTTGGAGTTTGTTTGACTTGAGCTTGTAACACATCTGTTTAGCCGTGCCTTTACTGAATAAGCACTGCTGCGTCCGACAGTTTGCACTATCATGTTTTTCTCTTCTTCTTCATTCTTTTATATCACATTTTACCTGTTTTTATGTTTATTTTTACTCATTTTTATAATTTTTTTTTTTACTTGTTTCTTTTATTCTTGTTTATGTAAAGCACTTTGAATTGCTGCAGTGTATGAAATGTGCTATATAAATAAACTTGCCTTGCCTTGTTTATACCCACACAGTTCAATCTGAACATTACACACCTTCTCCTTTCAGTATTTCAGCAATCAGATATCGGCTTTCCTCTAACACACGATCTTCTACTGATTTTTTCCCCAGGCCAAAGTTTCTGAGTGTGTGCAGAGCGAACCGTCTCTGCTGCCTCCAGGAGTGGTTAAACGTGACCATTATTATCCCTGAGAAAGAGAGAAACAGACCTTCTAATGCACACCTCTTTAGCAAAGATGCATTGAGCTCCCAAGATCAACTGTACACTCATAAAACTTAAAGGCTGGCATTTATGATTCCATGAACCATTAACACCTATGGAATCTTTATTGTTCATAAAGTTATTTATAGTGCAAAAAAAGTTCTTTGGGTATCTAAAAATGATTGAAAAGGTTAAAATTTGCTAACAAAAGGGTTTCTAACATTTCTGTAAAAAAAAAAAAAAAAAAAACAATTGGGAAGCTTTAATATTAAAAGTGTTACTGACCGAGTCCATTAGCTACCCAGTCCATAACAGGCAGAAACGGTCTTCCAGAAAAAGCATCCTGAACAAAGGCTTCCTTAGCAAGCTGGATTGTGTTGAGGACTATCGCTGGCCTTCTTCCGAGATACATAGTGGTCATTTCTCCATATTGAGGCATCTGTTTGAAGAACATTTACAGCAAGTTGGGTGCATGTGTGTGCTGTTCAGAATACAGCAGCAGAGCTTCACAATGAGAGAAAAGCAGCAAAGACTTACAGATCTTATGAACTCCATTGGGTTCTTCAAGGAATGTGGTAGGTTTCCCACAAAAGGAAGAGGTGTTGGACCAGGTGGAAATCGACCTTTGTAGGAATTAATCCTGAAGATCTCAAAAAGAACCAGAAAAATCAAGCCTAGGAACAGGGTCAAGCCCACAGAGGCTAAGTCTAACTTCAGGAGAGCGGCAAACATGTTTACCAGTTGAGTTCAAGACAAACACACAAGAGAAGCAGTAGGTCAGGGGCTTTATAACAAAGGATGAGGGAGGAGACAGAAAAAGAGTTCGACATGCTGTTAACCCTTTCAGCACTACTTTGATAAAGATATATTGAGAAAAGGCAAACTACATAAATTATTGTAGCACACAGCTATTCTTTATTTTAAAAAAATACCCTAATATTTACTTATTTGCAAAAGTACAAATGTATCAGGCAACATTTGGCTCATGATGCATTTTCCTGTTACCGTCATACATTCTGGGTAACATTCAAGCAGAAGCTTTAGACATTTTCATTTTCACATTTTCCTTCTCAGGTTCACAAGAGTTCTTGTGCGTTGGAAACTTAGCGTGACAGAAAATTGGACAACAATCACTGATTGAATACTTTACTGATGCCTAATCTAAGGATGATTAGGCCTGGTTATTAATAACACACAAGAGGTGTGTAGAGCTGAGAAAAAAAAGCACAAGTATGGCAAAGGTAAAGCACAAGACAATGAGTCAGCTATAAAATAAACTTGATGCAACCTCAAGCAACACATTGGTGACTGTACTTAGTCATACTTATACGACAGATACAATCCAAACAAAAGCAATAAAAATGAGTTAATTTACCTAAATATAATTATGCACATCTATAATCTAATCATTATAGTCTAATTATGCTAAATTATTCAATGTTTGAGAAATGCGTGAGGTATCTCGACAGAGAGAAACACGTTTCTCTCATATCGTCTAACTTAACCCTGACAGAAAGAGCTGATGCAAGTTGTCGATGAAATAAAAGGCGTTGTTTGTCTAAAATTAAGGAAACATTTTATATTATTGCACTTCTTAATCTAGGAACTAACGTTAAGGAGAAAACAAAAACGAAAGTGTTGCTTTGGCTTGTGGTTCATTTTTTGAATCGGATCTTTAAAATGAATCAAGTGCATCATTCACAAAACACAACTAATTTATGAGGTTATAATTATGTTTGTACGTGGGGATGACAGGAAATAAACTAATAAATCAACTGATAATCATCATAACGAATCATAAATCAAATCAATGCAGCATTTTAGTAATGATTCAAAAGAATCATTTTCAAATTAAGTTCAAACGAGTCGGTTCAGTGAACAGATTCGTATACAAATGAGTGTCAGTTTCGATTCGTTTAAAAGCTAGAAGAGCTGTACAACTCCGTTTAAAGTAAGGAAATTATTAAGGGATACATTTTACCGTGGATGTGTAAGCAAACGGGACAGTATTTTGTATCACATGAACAGAATTTCGCTGTCATAATCCCGAAGGCAGATCATTTTACACCGGTTAATGATGAACGGACCGAATCTATACAGTGCGGTGGTCGCTAAAGGAGCTCCACCGTCATCCGATACACGTGAGTAAATAAACACAGTACAATGTTAATAGTTTCACCCAAAGAAATGTAAAGTTGCTTACCATACTGTTAGATGTAAAAGCATGACTGATGACGAGTAGTGTAAAAGTGGTGTAAAGTTTGGTATTCGTCTTTCATTACATACTGTTGTAAACACTTTGTAACTTAAATATGATTGAGAAGAATAACATGCAGTCACAAAACTAACCGTGAAGTATTTATGTAGGTTTCAAATATAATGTTTACATTTTAATACTTAGTAAACAAGAGGACAGACTATTTGTTTTCATAAAGGAATGCTAAATAGGCTATAATAATTTATAGCTCAATATAATTTCAAAATCATCATAAAACTTTGTCAGTCTAGCACTTGTAATAGTATAAAGTATGTCTGGAGCATAATAAAAGCATGTATTTCGATTGCTTCTTGAAAAAGACAATACAAACCACCACAGGAGTTCTAAATACCATACAACCAGTATATCATAAACCTATTACATCATAAACCATATCGTAAACCAATCTAACCAGTAAATTTCAATGGTTTCTAGTTCATTTTGGGACATAATTCAGTAGGATTTTTATTTTATTTTAACATGGCACCAACAGAAGGCAAAAATAGCCCGTAGATACTCACAGGACCAATACAGTTTCAATTAAAACCAATATAATTCCCAGTAACCTCTATGTTATTGATTGGTATAACTCATTAGGAGACATTTGAAACTTTAATATAAGCCAATAAATCAGAATCAGTGTAACACTATAATTAAAATATTGTTGTCTTATTAACATTATTGTCCTATACTGTATACTAAAGCTCTAGATTATTTTCATATTGTGTTCTCACTCTGTTCATCCTCAGAACCAAAATCTGGCCTGTTGAATCTGAAGAGATCACTTCTGGATCTGATGGCTCAATACCCTGAAGGCATCAGTTTAAGTAAAGCCCGCAGATCCTGTCCGCTTCTCCTCGACTCAGAAGTATTGAATGGCTTTGGTTCGGTCCGGCAGCTCTTGGCATCCATGCCTGATGTGGTGACGCTGCATGGACTCGGGGTCCAGACGTTCCTTCTCCCGGCTGGAGCTAAACTATAGTATAAGACACATCTGAAAGGTTTTAACAGAGATTCTTCAATGAAAAAAACTAAACGGAAAACAAATGTAATGCTTAATGAACAAAGCATTACTGGAAATGCGAAAGCTGTGATCTCTCCAATGTGGCCTGGATGAAAACACACATCAGCAGTAATAAGAGGACCGGGATTTTTTCATACCACAACATTTGTAATCGTTTAGTAGTGTATTTTTAAAATATTTGATTACACTTTATATTAAGGTGTCCTTGTTAAAATGTAATGATTTAACAAATTACTGAGTAATTTTAATTAAAGGTGCAGAAGGTGATTGTCTTCAGAAGCATTTTTTGTTGTGCAGGTTGAAAGTCTCTTCACAGTCTAATAGTAATGATTACAGTAAATGATCTAAATGTATTTGTGTATTTTTATATTCTGGGTAAGGCATAAAACTAAAAAATGTTCATCCAATTAACCGACATCTCTCATAATTCCGATAAGTAGCCCAATCTGTCTGGTTTCCGGATTTCTCTTAGACAGGTAATGTTCTGTTTTAAAACTGTTTTAGCTTCACGCAGAGCTGATGTAACGTTAGATGTTGTTGTTACAAATGGGTTATATCCTCACAGAAGTGTTGTTCAGCCACTAAAATCTTCCGATGAAAGATGGATAAGACTATTTTCAGTTTCATAAAGGACTTTTACAGCATCAATGATGTGGATTTAATTCGTTTAACAACAAAACACAAGCAAATACCGCTATTCCGCCTAGCCTCTCCCTATATTGTTTACCATGCAACTCTAAATATTCACTCTGAAATAGCATGTCAGTTTGGCTTGCACGCCGCCGGACAAGCACTAGTCGCTTTTAACACATGAGAGAGGGTTCTTTTGCTGTGCTCGTGTTTCAGGAGGCGTGGCTCTGTTAGCATTGTGTAAGATCACCTACTGCACCTTTAATTCCATGTACTCACCAAATGGTTAGACTCAATCGCATGTAAATATGCATCATTGATTGTAATTATTATAAAATGTACAGTATGTATGTACTTTCATTTTAGTTCTTTTATTTCCAAAATGATTTAGAACCATATTGAAACTTAACAACTTTTTAATAATTAATGAAGGAATTATAATGCTTTGTTTCATTATTTCTTTTTCATTTACAAGTAGCAGGGTATGTACAGCTACTGTATATTTCTGTTCACATCCCATCCTTTAGTGCCCCTGGTGTTATAGTCACAATCTTGCCACGTGTTCTGTTTGTGTTGCTCTGCAATAACTCTTCCGAAATGCTAGCTGGCAATAGGTTTTAAGGTTCCTCTTTGTCAAGTTCTTCGTGGTTGTTTTGTTTTTTCTGAACGATACCTTAATGTACAAGTTGCTCTAACTCGCTCATTTTGAGATGCGAACCGGCGGAAAATGTAGTTAAATTTTCAGCGATGGCCACATTGAGGGCTCTGCGACCACACAAAGGCATCTGTCCACTTGACGCTAAAGTATCAATCAGCCTTTAGTACCGCGGAGGTAATGGTCGTTTTGAAGTGTCACCCGCTGTACATAGAATGTGTGATGAGTCCTTAATATACCAGTGCTACTATATGTATTATAAAAATCACTAAATATATTGTGTTTACTTCTACAAAGACTAAACTTTTACTTTAATGTTTTTTTTTGTTACCTTTTTGATTCTTGTATGTGATCATGCACAAATCAGGAAACCGCAGTGCACTTCAAAATGTTGAGTGAACAATGATGGAGCAACTCAGGGTTTTTTTCCCAGTCATAGAAAATTATATTAAGTGATCAAACTCTGTATAAATATAACATTGATACATTTAAATCAATGTTTTAGTAGAAAATTATGACATTTTAAAATATACATTGTCTCGAAAATATACTGAAAAAAATATACTTTGATTACTTTAATAGTTTTTGGAGGGATTTTTTTTTTTGAGAGAGGGAATACACAGTAATGATGTTCTCACAGAGGATTAACCAGCTCTATATGGCCCATTTCCATTCAGCGGGACTGTACAGTGTGTGTATCACTGTAAAAGGTATCAAAATGGTGAACCATACCACTTTTTTGGCACCCTTTCACAGGATAGCTAGCACAACAGTACGGTGCCAAAAGGTGGAGCTAGCCTTACTGCTGAAATGCTATTGGTATACAGAGAATCGACAGCAGCGCATGCAACAAGACAAAAATTCAGCTGCAGACTCAATTCAACCTATAGACATTTTAGGACACACAATCCCGGCTACATGATCCAGGTTTTTTAAGTGGGAGGGCCTTTTGAAGACTATGCCTACAAGATTGATACAGATGTGGCTACTGAGAATGTCCAAACGGTAGGTCAGTGGTTAGCACTATTGCCCTACAGCATGTAGGTCGCTGGTTGGAGTCCCGGCTGGGCCAGTTAGCATTTCTGTGTGGAGTTTGCATGTTCTCCCGTGTTGATGTGGGTTTCCTTCGGGTGCTCCGGTTTCCCCCAAAATCCAAAGACATTAGGTATAAGGGAATTAATCGATGAATTTGCACTTTAGTGTTTGGACTCTCAGTAATGACTTCAAACCACACTGAACTGAGGTAAACTGAACTGAACTTAAACACTAAAAAACTGAACTATCCTGATCCAGTTACTATGACCATGTATGTGAAGCTGCTTTGACACAATCTACATTGTAAAAGCGCTATACAAATAAAGCTGAATTGAATTGAATTAACTAAAATGGCCGTAGTGTATGAGTGCGCGTGTGTATGGGTGCTTCCCAGTACTCGGTTGTGGATGGAAGGGCATCCGCTGCCTAAAACATATGCCAGAGTAGTAGGTGGTTATTTCCAATGTGGCGACCCGTAATAAATCAGGGACTAAGCCAAATGAAAATAAATGAACATACAAATCATGTCAACCTTCTTTTAAGTTGACATCTGGTACAATAGGTGGCAATAATACTCCTAAGGAATTAGTCGCCACTAAACAAGAAAAAGACGTTCGCCCTGGCCTGGATTGTGTGTTCGGAAATGTGTGGGTCTGCAGCTTGATTTATCCCACCAAGTAAGGATACTTTTGGTAGTGAAAACACAAGGGTGACCTATACCAAACCATTCTGTAGTAAACCATACCACTCAGCAAACAAGTGAGAGATCATGAGAGAAAACTGCTTTGATCTGTTAAATCGGTATTACATTTTAATATATGCATTTATCAGATGCTTTTATCCAAAGTGACTTACACTGCACTGAAGGTACAAATTATTGCTCGTTTTCCTTTGGAATCGATCCCACAACCTTGGCATTGTCTCACGCTATACTATTTCAGCACTTTAATTTACAGCAATGTATAGTGTTGTAAGGTAATACAACATTCTTTATCAATACAGTAAATTTTAAAACAAGTCTAAATCTTTGGAAACACTTGTAAATATGAGCACGGACACTGATGGTCAGTGTTTTGAACCTCTGCTATGGCAAATGATGTTGAATGGTTTAGGAGAGCGAACTATGCCGAAAATCCCATTCATATCCGGCAACTTCTCTCCAGTTGGCCAGGAGAAACGAATGCGCTGAAGGAGAGAAGTGACGAAGAGGAAGAGCTCAGCTTTAGCCAGAGTCTCACCAAGACAGGCCCTTGGACCTGGAGAAAAAGAGAAATCAAAAGTTAGAGTCGATCAATTTCTACCTGGTTTGTCATTGTTCCAAGTGGCTCACCCAAGGAGAAAGGAAGAAAAGCCTCCGGTTTGAAGAAATGTCCCTTATCGTCTAAGAAATTCTCTGGGTTAAAAGTGTCTGGATGCTTCCAGTGCTCCTTGTTAGTCAAAATTTCCGTCAAGTTAATCAATATCTGAGTTCCCTAGAAAGACAACATTTATTAGTTGAACAATTCCATTTCCATACAAACATAACATACATTATTTTTCAGCACCTGGGGAATGTCGTATCCTCGTAGTTTTGTTGCTTGAGTTGTTTGATGAGGCACTCCAGTTGTGCACAAGGTTTGCACAGCGCTGAAACTCGTGAACAGTGGCGTGTGTGTATGGTAGTCGGTCACGGTCATCCATGCTGGGCAATCGGTCAAAACCCAGAACCCGAACAATCTCTTCATGACATCTCTCTGGAATGACACAAAAGCTGGAGTTTGTACGATAAAATACCACTGGAGGTGTGCCACTGGAAAGTTGACTACCTGAGGAATTTATAGCATGTAGCAGCTTCAAAACCTTACTCGGTACAATGGTAGTCTTTTATCAACATAATTACATCCATAGACAACACTATTTATTGTAAGTCGGTAATTAAACATAGCCTCTTGAAACATCGGTAATGTAAGCTACATTTTTTAAGCCATAACAGTAGGAATTAAAAACAAGATTATACTACAGATCCAAAGAATAAAAGGGGAACTGGCAATATTCATCCATTCCTGGAGAATCAATTTAGCAATATCTTGTTATCATCATCAGTACCACGCAACACTGTTTAAAGGGTCACGAAACACCAAAACACATGTGTTGAGCTGTTGACAGTCGTATATGTGTCCCACACTGCTAAAAACACTATTAGGACACCTATATTTCAATAAAAAGTGTAAATTGGTTGTTTTTGCGTTATTTCAAGCAAATTCGTACTAACGGTTTGAAACTAATATTTGAAGCTGCGTCACGGCCATGAGATAATAGCGTGTGTTCCAGCGTGCAGACTGGGCGTTTGAGCCAGAGTGGGCCTTATTACGTCTCGGAGTGTGCTGCAATAATGCATGAGTAAAGCTTGGTTCAAACCAATCAGCGCGCTCTGTTGTGCAACTTAATTAATATTCATTACTGTCACAGTGTTTAGATGACACTCACACCACGTTGTGTTGGCAAAACAAGCGTGAAGTGTTGCTTTTATAGTTTGCTGCAGTGAAGTTTTGTTTTCATTTTCTCTCTGCGAGAGCTCAGACTCACGTGTGGATTAACAGTGTACGCGACGCTCGACAACAATAACTTACGTGTCTAAGGAGGAACATTGTTTACCTGAGAGCTGTTCTCATCTGCAAACGCTGAGATCCGGATTCACTTGTAGTATTCTCTTCATAAAGACGCGGCTCTAGTTGCTGGTGATTGTCCTGTCTCTACAGATTTGGTAAGTGAGCGACCAGTGCTCTTTGTTTATTCAGTTTGTTCTTATCGAACTAGCAATTGCACCGAGTGTAAACATGTTAGCACCACAACCAAACTTTAACCTCGTGTGGGATTTTCACCGCATTTTGTGACCGGAATAACACATGCGGCTTTCTGACACTACCTGCCGTGTGCATCTAAGTTTCCGGGAAATGTGGAGGGTTTTTTTCT